CACCCTTTGTTCGCCACGACGATGACGCAACACCTTCTGATCCTAACAAGCACAAACAAATGTCCAAACCTGCATCGTGATCTTGATTCGTAGCCGTTCGTCTTGTTTTGTTTTTGCCCTGATTTCGAGCCAGGTTCGAGCTTCCGGTATCCAAATGGTTGATTGAGTGGCTTCGTTCTGTGGATCTCTTCGTTTCTTGTCTTGTCTCGTCTTGGGCTAGCGGTGTCTCAGGTCTCTTTCGTTGCGGGAGTTGGGATCGAGCTCGCGTGGCTTGCAAAGACGTGGCAGCTTCTGTCCTCTGCGATCTGGTAGGAGTTCACCATGTCTATTCGGGCTTTCCTCTCTACGCGAACATTCCCTCTCCCCAAGACCCTGTCCTCTACCCTCCCGCGGCTCATTTCCACAACCACCGCCACCACTCCTCCGCGCCCTCCTCCGCGCCTTCCCCGCTACATCCCCTCCCAACTCGACTCCGTCGAAAACCCAGAATGCTATCACCCCTGCGGTCTACCTCCCCTCTCCATCCACGATGCATTGCACAACGGGCCGCATAGGTATAAAATACTGCATAAACTCGGTTTCGGCGGATCCTCTACTGTTTGGCTAGCGAGGGATTCAGAAGGAGGGAGGTTGGTTACAATCAAAGCGATGAGGGCTGACGTACTCGCTGGGCCGAAGACGATCGACGACCTCCCCGACGTCCGCATCCCTAACCTCCTCCACGCCACTTCTGTCTCGAAACACCTCCTCACCCCCCTCTCCGCCTTCACCCACCTCACCCCCAACGGCCTGCACCCCTTCCTCGTCTTTCCCTTCTTCGGACCGAGCGTGCAGGCTATGTATGATACCCCCGGTCGAGTGCGCGGGAGTAGGCGGTTGAGGGGGGAGGTGGCGAGGAGGGTAAGTAGGGAGGTTGTGGTGGCGGTTGGGGGGATGCATGGGAGGGGAGTCGTACATGGGGGTGCGCTCTTTGTCTCTTCTACTCCCTTTTCTCTCGGTGCCGTCTCCACTGTATTTAAAACTGAACCTGCGGGTATAGATATCACGACATCCAACATCCTCTTCCGCCTCTCCCCCGCCATCCAGTCTTGGTCCGACACCTACATCAACGCCTACTTCGGACCCCCAGAAATCGAACCCGTCCGTCTCCGTCCCCCTCACCAGGACGAACCCCTCGGACCCCACGTTCCACCTGAACTCGTAGCTCCCATCGCCGACTCACTCATGCGCGACCTGATGTACGTGCAGGAAAGTGTTGTGTTAATCGATTTCGGACAATCCTTCTCCATCGACTCCAACGGTGTCCCTCCGAAGGATTACCAGCCTGGAACATCACTAAACTACCTCGCGCCCGAAACGTACTTCGAAGGCCGGACAGGTTTCCAGACTGATATCTGGGCCCTTGGCTGCGCGATATTTGAGCTCAGGGCGGGGTTTCCGTTATTTGAGGCATTTTTGGGCGGTGCGGGGGATGTTGTGCGGGAATGGGTTGAGGTGCTAGGCGAGATGCCTGAACCGTGGTGGGAGGCGTTCGAAGAGAGGAGGGGTTAGGATGGGATGGAGGTATTGGCGGGGAAGACTTCGATCCGAGAGAAATTGAGGGAGATCGGGACGATGGATGAGTCCGATGGGTATGAGCGGCGGATGATGGAGGTGCCGGGGACGAGGTTGGGCGAGGACGAGGTAGAGTTATTGGGTGATTTGTTGGAGGGGATGGTTAGGTGGCGGCCGGAGGAGCGGCTGGGGATTAGGGAGGTGTTGGAGCATCCGTGGTTTGGGATGTGATTGGATTGTATAATACTTTTTGCTTTGCTTGTCGCTTTCGTGTTGCATTCGTGTTTTCGTGTATGCTCTCTTGCAATTGTATATCCCACAACTCAACTCATCCCGGTTCTCTGGCCTTCCTCAATGCGCTGTTCCGAGGCGAAATGAGCTCGGCCCAGCCAAGAACACTGTCCACGTTCTCCAGTCTGGACCCATCCAGGCACCGGGCCGGCCCAAGAACACAGCTCATGACGGAGTTTGCGCACTGCACACGCCCACCTCCGTCTAAACTTGACGCTTTGCCTGCCCTGTGCTGTGTGCTGACTTTCGACCTTGTTTGTTTTCGTTACAAGTAGAGCTTCTTGCTATCCTTGCTGACACTCGTCGTGCGCACCCCCACTCTAGGACGGATCCATGCCATCCCGGACGCGCATCCTCTCCAGCTCATATCTCTTTCTTTCCTTCATAATCCTCCAGACCGCCTAAATAATCCCCACCGTCATAAGGTCCCCCCCGCAATCCTCCTACATTCCACGCAATCTCATACCACTCAACAACGATGCAAGTCCAAATCGTAAGCGACCTCCACCTCGAGCTCGAGCGCCCACGCAAAGGCGCATACCAATACGAGCTGCCCGTCAAAGCGCCGAACTTGGTGTTGATGGGCAATACGGGGTGCACTGTGGATGAGAAGCTGTTCGTGTGGCTAAAGGCGCAGTTGACGAAGTTTAGGCTGATATTCTATGTTTCGGGGAATAAGGGTGCGTTTTCCTTCTCGGTGTGGGTTTGTGTGTGGCACCGAGGCTGACTGAGCGAATCCATCCTTCCATCTATTCAGAGCAATGGGGCTCATCCGTCGTACGTCCTCCCTTCCCGCTCTCCCCTCCCTCCATCTCCTCTCACACCATCGGATAAGTAGATCGAATCCACCGAACGTCTCCGCGCCTTCGCCCGCTACGTAAACCAAGACGACGCCTCCGGCACCTTCGTCTACCTCAACCGGAACCGTTACGACGTCGACCACACCCTCACCATCCTCGGCTGCACGCTCTGGTCTCACCTCGACGCCTCCGAAATCGATACCCTCATCTGGAAGATCCAGGATTTTAGGCGGATATCCGCGTTTAATCCTGGTGCTTATGCGGCGATGCATATGCAGGACCTTACGTGGCTGAACAATACAGTGAGCGAGATTAATAGGATGGAGCCGCATCGGCGCATCGTCGTGTTTACACATTATGCGCCGACGGCACGGGGGACGATCGATCCGCGCGTCGCGGAGGGACATACGAGTGCGAAGCTCGTCAGTGCGAGTGCGACGGAGTTGGGTGGGGAGGCGTGTTGGAGGAGCGGGAAGGTGAGGGTGTGGGGGTTTGGGCATACGTGTTGGTGTGCGGATTTTGAGAGCGAGGAGGGGGTTAGGTTGGTCGCGAATCAGAGGGGGTATGGGGAGAGGGAGTGTGCTGGGTTTGAGCCGGGGAAGGTTATTGAGTTGCCGGCGGACGATAAGGAGGGGAATGCGAGGGAGAGGTAGGGAGGGTGTGATTGTTCTCTTTTTTTTCTTTTGATTACGGACGATTATTTTTACTGTACTTTTACGATTCGACGCACAAAACACGCATTTCGGTGATCCGTTCTGATGTTTCTGAACACTGAGCCTCCTTCGTCCCTGTATCTTCGCCTTAGAGTCCAGCGTTACTGTAAGCTACCTACATCGTCGAGCGCTCCTCCATATCGAAAGCATACGTCATCGCATCTGCGGCGTCTCTCTGGACTCTGGTGCCGTTCTCTACAGTATCATTGTGTATGGACGAACTATGTAGGCCTCGAACGTTGAGCATACAGAGGCTGCTATACGCATACATAGTTCGAGGAGTATCAATAATATAATTGCACACCCGCCTAAACGTACAGTAGTCACCCAGACCAGGTAAAAACAAGATGATTACTGAGCCGTGGAATACACAACAAAATGAAAGCAACACGAAAGCGATAAGCGACAAGCAAAAGCATAATCTAAGCTACCACCCGATTCTCCTCAAATGCCAAACTACGGACGTTCCAGAACCTCCCCTATATCCACCCTCTCCTCCGGCCTCCAACAGATCGCCCTCGCCCTCGCCCTCCCCAATTTCTCCCTCATCGAAATCTTCCCCGCGTCCCTCTCTTCCACACCCCCTTCCGCTCCTCAAATTTCAAACCACATCGCCCTCTCTTCATCTTCATTGCCAACAACCTGCCTCAATAACAATTCGCCTCGCTCCTCAAGGCCTCATTGACAGGAACGGCTCAAACAACAGAAACACAGATCGCGAATCCGAGGACCCAGATGTCTGATTTGGCGCGGCGTTCGAAGTCGAGTTCGGTGGGGGAGTGGGGAGGGAAGGTTACTTATCGCTGTGCAGGGCTGTTAAAACCTTTCGGAGGGCGGTTGTCATTATCTGTGACTCGGAGGGAGGATTGTCCGAGATTGGCGAACACGATACTTTCTTGTTCGGACATGAGATCGCGCATGAGAGAGTATTCGACGGGGGCTACGAGTTCAATGGGTCGTTTTGAGCGTGACGATGGGAGCGGCCAAGGAGACGGACGGATTCGGTGTCTGGAGGACCGAGGTAGGCGTGCACGTATGTACTCATCTGACCAGGGAGCGAGAGGCGGAAGAGGATGTTCGAGTGTCGTTATATCTAGACCGGGTGTCAGTCTGAACGTTCAAATTCGGCGACGAAGGACAGCACAATGAAAGAGAGACGGACGACCATGTACAGACCCCTCCTCCCATCCATCCCTGCAACCGCCCCCACCACCTCCCGCGCCACGCTCCTCGCCATCTAGCCCTCAACCTCCTTGACGCGAACCCGGCCGGGGGTGTCGTGCATCGATTGGATGCTCGGGCCTAAGAAAGGAAAGACGAGGAAGGGATGTGTGCTGTTTTGGGTGAGGAGGGTAAAGTGGTTGAGAAGGGGGGTGAGGAGATGTTCGAGGTGTTGATGAGGAGGCGAAGTGGAGGTGGCTTGAAGGAGCTTCAGAATGCATACTTCCGGTAGGTCGTCGATCGTCTTCGCCTGACCGTTCGATCCAGCGAACACATCCGCTCTCATTGCCCTTAATCACGACCAGCCGACCTCCTACTCCACCTCCTTCCCCTCCTCCCTCACCTTTTCCTCCCATATCACGCGCAAGCTAAACAGTCGACAACCCGTCGAAGCCAAGTTTATGCAGTACTTTATACGTATGTCGCCCGTGGTGGGGGGTATCGTGGATGGAGAGGGGAGGTAGACCGACGGGGTGATAGGACTCTACGTCCTCGACGGAGTCGAGTTGGGAGGGGATGTAGCGGGGTGGGCAGGGATGGGTAGAGGTGGAGGTGGAGGTGGAGGTGGAGGTGGAGAGTCAGCGCGGGAGAGTTGGAGAAATTAGAGGTGAGGAGTTTGGTTTCGTGTAGAGAAGATGGTCCGGATGGACATGGAGAACTACGAGGTCGCAGAGGAAAGGAGTTGCCACTGCGCGCTCGATATCGCCTCGCCAGGTACAAGCAAGAAAACGACAGAGTCGAAGCTCCAGCCCAGGACAAGCAAACAAGCCAAGGAAAAAGTCACTCAGTCCACCATTTGGAAACCGGAAACTCAAACTTGGCTCGAATTCAAGACGAACATGTACATGTACGGTTGTTGTGGGAGCCACGAATCACGATGCACGTTTCGGCGTTTGTTTGTGCTTGTTAGGATCGGAAGATGTTGCGTCATCGTCGTGGCGAGAAAAGGCGCAAAGTGGAAAGTGGCGCGGTTTCCGTTGTCTTTCGACAGGACCAACTTGAAGCCTATGCTAGCGACTGTTAACGGGACTTTCCTTTCTTCTCGAGTTGCGCTTGTCATCAATTCTCTCTTAGTACCGAAGATCGCCCGACCTGTCGTGGCCACAGACGAAAGACTGGCACGGTTTCTGATAGCAGGCGTCCTGTCCATTTTCTTTCAACGGCACCAGCTTCAAGCTTCAACTTTGAAGGCTCCTGAGGACCGTCGACCTTCTTTGTCTTTTCTTGCTGTCCTTGCTGTCGATGCTCCCTTAGTATTGCAGATCGGCCGACCTGTCGTGGCAGACCGAAGCGGAAAAGCTGGCGCGTTTTCCGATTCGCGTCCTGTCCATTTCTTTTCGACAGTACCGGCTTCAAGCGGTCCGTCGACAGTCTTTCTCTTTTATCTCTCGCTATCAACACTCTCTTAGTACCGCTCATGGCAGACCACGGCGGCAAAACTTGACTTTGCTTGGCTAGAAGACTGCCGGAATCATTTTCTTGTCGTCTTATCTCAGGCTGGTTTGTCGTTTTGCTCAGCGATCCTCCTTCAGTCACGGCGCGATTTGCTGACCTACGTCGCCGTCGTATACATACATTTAGTACCGAGCATCAATGAGTGTGGAATTCAACCATACTCACCCTCGTACTTAGGCTCTGACTCACATCGTCACAGTCGCACGAAGCGCAATCACGATCGCTCACACTGCCACGAAGTTCACTTGCTTACTCTCGTACTGTTCTACTCTCGACCATCATCACATTGCACAGGGGCGCTGCTCATACCTTTTTTGTTACATCTCTGCGCTATGCACAATCCTCGGAAACTCGCCATAATGACAAGAGCGGTCGGGAGCAAAGTCATGCGTTTGAGTCGAATATATTTCTATCCTTGGGGCTGGTGAAAATACTGGATACGAGGTCCTTATAGAATCTGTCGACCGTCTCGCCCTCTATGCAGCCCTCGCACACGCTGTGGATCGACTATATCGTGCATCTAGCGCTACGCGATCGCTTAGTTCTTCTATGAACATAATTGTTGGTCTATCGAAGGAGGAATCGAACATCAAGTTCTTCCGGTATATCGAAACGGGGATTGAATATCGTGTGATTTACAAAGCAGACCGCCAATGATCGGAGAACTTCGAACGACATGTCTAATTATCTATGCTATCCCGCTCCTAATTACTCATTCCCACCTCCTTTGCTCGATTTTTACCTTTCGCGCGCACTCTAGTGCGTCTGCTAATTTTGTTCCATCTCTCTTCTTACCTCCAAACGAAGGGCGGACTACTCCGGCTCACTGGAAGTCACTATCCTGCCTTCCTCCTCTCCCATCCTCCGGTAATGTATCATGCGAAGGCTCTCCATGCCTAAGGCTGCCTGCGTCAGAACACTAGTACAACATGCATTACGCAGACAGTCACTCGTTAGAGGTGAATGTGCGAGATGGAATGGGATCATACTTTTGAGCCGTCGATACAGATGGCAGCGGTGGCGACGACGGAGATGGAGAGGAGTTATAGTACCAGCGAGGTACGTCTCTGACTTTCTACGTAGCGGTCACTCAACCGCGATTTCGGATTGGTCGCTGTCTTTTCCTTCAGTCGTCTTCTTTTCCGTCTGTGCGTCGCACATCTTCGACGCTCGCTCCGTTATGGGCTGCCAAGACCCGTGAACGATCGTCACTGCTACTGATGTATCCTTTACTACGACTGCAGATGGCGTCGATGCTCCATCATCAAGGTCGCTGGACAAATGCGGAGGAGCTGGAGGCGGTCCCCAGAATAAACAGTATGGTTCGCTCTTTTGCTCCTGTTACTTACTTTCACTGCTCATGTTTCCTCTTCTGGAGGAAAGTCGGTTCGCTTTTGTTACAGTCTACATCTTCACAAGCTCAATTCATTTCGCTCAAATCTCGCCTTTTCGTCCAACCATAGTAGCTTTGTGGTTGAACAATGTGCGAACGAGGTCACAGGTTGGGTCAGTAATTTGAATGTAGGTGTTTCTCTGTTCTCGCTGGTCCCCAGTCAACTGCCTCTTTCGACTATTTCTCTTTTCACATGTGTCGTCTAATTGGATTTCATATGCAGATACTGAACGTCGTATGCGGCGAGTATACCTTGTGACGAGAGATAATTCTACAAAGCCAGCTCGTTTCCGATTCACTTATCTACAACCATATATTGAACATACAGGTCTTGTTATAGAACAAAGTCATGATGAACTGCAAGCACAAATATCGTACACATGAAATCAGTCAGCTCGTACACAACTCATTACGAATCAATGATAGAAGCACAACCACAAATTTATACATCACGGTCATTCCGAACAAGGAGTCTCTTCCTGATCTCTCTTACCTCCTCCTCAAGCCTTCCTGCGTCAGACAACCGGCCCAGGTTGCGGTATAATATAATGAGATTGTCCATACTCCGTAGTGTGTAGGGATGCTCCTCGCCAATAACACGCTTCCTCGCCTCCAACACCGTCACATGTAGCTTCTCCGCATCCACCCACCGACTTTGATTCTGGTATGTAAATGCAAGATTGCCCATGCTGATCAGTGTTTCAGGATGCTCCTCGCCGAGCACGCGCTTCTCCACCTCCAGCACCGTCACATCCAGCTTCTCTGCATCCGCCCACCGACCTTGATTCCGGTATGTAGATGCAAGGTTTCCCATGCCGATCAGTGTTGAAGGATGCTCCTCGCCGAGCACACGCTTCTTCACCTCCAGTACCGTCACCCCCAGCTTCTCTGCATCCGTCCACCGACCTTGATTCATGTATGTAGATGCAAGGTTGCCCATGCTGATCAGTGTTTCAGGATGCTCCTCGCCGAGCACCCGCTTATGCGCCTCCAGCACCGTCACCTGCAGCTTCTCCGCATCTATCCACCGGCCTTGATTCATGTATGTAGATGCAAGGTTGCCCATGCTGATCAGTGTTGAAGGATGCTCCTCGCCGAGCACCCGCTTGTGCACCTCCAGCACCGTCACCTCCAGCTTCTCTGCATCCGTCCACCGACCTTGATTCCGGTATGTAGATGCAAGGTTGCCCATGCTGATCAGTGTTGAAGGATGCTCCTCGCCGAGCACCCGCTTCTTCGCCTCCAGCACTGTCACCTGCAGCTTCTCCGCATCCATCCACCGACCTTGATTCCGGTATGTCGATGCAAGGTTGCCCATGCTGATCAGTGTTGAAGGATGCTCCTGGCTGAGAGCAGATGTCCTCGCATCCATCACCATTTTCTTCATAATTTCCGCATTCTTGTACTTTCCACTATCATCATATAGTTTCCCGTACCAGTCTGCTGTATATATGGCCAGATGATTATCATGACACTGGACCTCTTGGACATGTAGAAGCAATCTGCGGAGATCATCATTGTAGTTCGACATCCCATAATGGCCATAAGAATGTGATATCGATAGGCCCAAAATAAATGATGCATAGCTTGGAGTGACCGTGTTACTGTCATAATTTCGAGTCCAATCCTGTACCAGGAGATGAACGGATAGATTGCTTCCTCCTGAAGCGCTCATGAGGGAGTACGAACACAGATCTTGTACCACCTGAAGAAAAATGCTGTCATCCCATGTGTTCTCATCGACTGTAATGAATTTGTGAAGGAATTTTGTGACCCAAGACAATACAACGTCCGAAGGCGGAATTATGGTGTTAAAGGTAGGCAGCACGGCGGCCGCATTTCTGAAAATGGATTCGGAAATGGACTCATGATGCAGAAAGGCGCAGACACGCAGGAATGTGGCGGCTAGCGGGTTTCTCAGCAGAAGACGCTCAAAGCTGATGTTCCACGTCGTATAGACTGTGCCATCATAGGAATCGAGCCGCTGTACTCTCTCGTTGTACTTCTCAAGCAACTTCCGATGTTGTTTACGGAACAGCTCAAGGTACTGGTCAAGGCCGCAAGTTGGGTTACTCGCAATATACGCAGAGGCCTGGGTAATGGCAAGAGCAAAATACCCGAGCTCCTGTTTGAGATTGAATCATATCAGCCGAGACCTACTTCCCCGGGTGGTCGACAATAGAGCGAATCATGTACATACCTTGAGGATCGTTTCGACAATCCCGTTCTCGTGATCACTTAGACTGACGGCTTCGTCTTTGGTCTTTATCAGACCTGCACGCCAGAGAAACAGCGTCTTTGCTTCGTCAGGGCTCATGCTCAGTAGTTCACAGCATGATCCAGATGCTCGACCATAATCACTCGTCTGAGCATTACGACTAGTGATAATGGTGTTCCCGTGGGGATTTTGTGGGATGAAGTCACTGAGATTGAGACTAGGGTCATCAGCGCTGTCGAGGACGAGGAGCCAATCGCCGTGGCTCTCCATCCATCGTATCGCATCGGTGTCGGAATCACCGATTCCTTTGTCCACGGCGATGCTTGCCATGTCTGTTTTGATCGTCTCTTCACTGCTTCCGTCAACGTAAAACACATCCAAGAATCTAAAGATACCAACATAGTCAGCGCAAAGCCAGAGTTCAATTTGTGTGCATCATGAAAAGCATACCTCTCTGGCTCACTGCTCTGTACGATCTCCACAAATCTGCGTGATATCTGGCTCTTACCACTGCCGCCCAGGCCGTGAACCACAAATATACGACGCCGCCCGGACTTTCCAGAGAAGTATAGAGTCATTCTCGAGAGAATGGAGTCTCTCCCCGTGAAATACGGTGTTGAAGGAGGGCAGCGTTTGCGGATCGCAACAGGCTTCGAATGAGCAACAGCCCTCGGAAGCGCACCACCTATTGCCGCTATGAGTTAGATGGAATTTAAGAAAATACAATGAACAGAACATACTAGCTTGGACGGTCGGAGCGACTCCGCGTCGAGCTCGTACAGCTGCCGCCGCATCTGTCATCGTCTTCGAGACCGTTGTAGACCTCAGATACATTTCGGTGACATCATGCACCACGTCCAGCTTGTCCCAATCTGAAAGCTTAACACCATCCATGCCCTGGTCGACATTAAAGCGAAAATATACGCCTGGCGAATCATGGAAGCGGTGCTCCATATCCTCTGCGACCGTTTCACAGTCTGTGACGATCTTTACAATAGCGACAGCGACATCGATGCGTGGCATAATACGCTGAATGAAACCAGGTCTGTCGAGCCTAGACACTTTTAGCTTTCCAGTCCCAATACTGATCATACAAGCGATTTTTCGCTCTGGGAATATCGAAGATGCCTCATGAAGAACAACACCAGCAGGGTTGTTATGACCAATGCCGCCGTCAGTGTAGCGACTGAGAATGCCAAAGCCATTGTCAATCTCGATCGGCTTGAAGAATGTAGGCGCAGCGGATGTAGCGCGAGCTGCTTCCCAGATCTTACAGTTGATGAAGCGTTCGTGGCGAGGTTCGTAGGTCCGGAAGAGCGTGGGAGTGGGTGAACCTAAAGCGACTGGAGCCGTAACGCAGACAAAACTGGAACGAAAATCAATCTTCAACGCTGGTCGGGCTAAAGATAAAAATAATCCTTGGTACGTACGTCCTGCACAATCCACCAGAGGGCGCATCATCCCTCATCCTCGCCTCCGAGTCGTGCATAGCCGCGGGTTGTGCTGAGATGACTTTCTTTATCGCAGCCTCTAGATTACTCGCCTTGAAAGCTCCATCCCCAAGAAACTTTTCGTCTGAGAATACATCCTTTGAAAGCTGGGCGTACTTGTGGAGGGCGTCGTCGACGGACATGCGAAGGCGGCCCAGCATGAGCGCAATGATCCTAAACGATCTCAGATGAGTGTTCTGGTAAATCGTTAGCGTCAACGTACCCTCCGGTGCTTGTACCACCAATCAGATCGAAACATTCGCAAGGCAACGGCATTTTCTCTAGATGTTCAGATAGTTGGATCTCGCGCATGAGGTTCCATAGGACCTGGAGGGATGACAGGCCACGGATGCCGCCGCCATCTATGAACAGATATCAGCGATGGCCAAGAGACAAAGAGACTGAGTAGAACATACCCAATGCAAGTAAACGGAGACCTTCAGTGGGAGCTGGCTCCGACATATTGTTCTGTGTGCTCGCAGAGTCAAGGGCGAACGAGAGGGATAGAGAGGGAGGGAAAGAGAGCAGTAGCGCCGTGAACCCTTTGCCCGTACTCGCAATTGGTGATTGCGGTGCAAGGCAGTTCCAGCGTGATCAGGGCACCGTCTAGAGCACTAACGCTGAGAATAACCAAGTCGCACGCTCTAAATAAACAGTATATCGGATTCATGCACTGCTTCATGGTTTTTTTTGACGGTTCCGGACTTGACAGACCGCTACAGCTTGAGGAGGCGTAGATATGAGCAACAAGAACGCACATATGACAGCCGTGTGTATTCAGCGATAAATATGAATGTAAAAAATAGTCAAGGGCCCAGACTTGCAAAGAGGAAGATGGTGCATCGCCAGGCATCTTCGACGTCGACGTCCAGGAGCTTCCAGTGTGGCAGGACGACTCCAAGGAAGAGGACAAAAAATGGACGAAAACACGTGGTGGCATTCCGAGCCTGGAGCGCCACACACCCTCGCCGCTTCGAGTCATCATGCTCCCACATCATGCATCCTTCCTTCCCTGTCTTTGCCCGACTCTTCCTCTCGAACTAGTTTGCTTATTACTTATGTCGCTCGCCCGGCGAGACATGACCACTCGAGGTCTTGGACTACAACTCGGAGTCACGTCGTTGAACTTAACTACCTTATCCGCTGGCATTGACACGAACTTGAATCCACCACTGCGTTCCGGACTGGTCCAGGTCTCATAGCTGCGATAGAGAGTTCGCTGTCTCTGCTTTAATGAACTTGGGGTGTTATCTCTCTAAGTTCGCGAGCATAAGGTCCGAAAGATGTATATACAGTGGCTTGGAACGATTCATCCTTCACGGCGCCATGAGCACCACCTGCCCCATATCCGCGTTCTCCTTCGCCACCTCAAATGCCTGCTCCCATTCTTCCAGCCCAAACTTGCCCACAATCTCCACTCTATCAAGCTTCATCATCCCCGAGTTCACCAACTGAATGAACCCTTCGATATCCTTTCTCTCATACATCCACTTCCCCTTCAACTGCAAATCTTGAAACACGATCCAGAAGAACGGCAACGGCACCTCTCTCCCGATTCCTCCCATCAAGCTCGCCCTTCCTCCATGCCTCAGCGAATGGATCCCACTATTGACATGTGTCGACAGCTTTGCCTCCGGCGGCGAAATATCGAAGAACACGTCGACGGGTCCAAACTGTTTGAGTGCTTCGGTCTCCTTCTCCATGTCACCTATGATCGCGACGATCTCGACTCGTTCGCTGATGCTCTTGATCTTCCGCAACTTTTCCTGGTTCCTACCCATCGCAATCACCTTTCCCGCACCCATCGCCAGTGCCACCTGTACCGCCGCACCTCCATAGGCTCCCGTCGCTGGCGCCACGATGACCGTCTCCCCCGCCTGTAGTCCAACATCCCTCAACCCTCCATATGGCACCAACAACGTCGAAATATAAGTTATCCTCTCCAGATCATACCCCATCCCTCCTTCCCCCAAACCGCGTGTCAATCTCGCCTCATCCAACACGAAACAATTTTCCAACGGCGCCTTCACATACTCCGCTAGTGTCCCATCCCTCCATTCCCCCCTCATCAACCTCTTAGTCCCCTCCCCGAAACCCTCACTCAAGCCCATCAACATTCTCGCGCTCGTGTCGTCCCTCCCCCGTATGCAACAATCCACATACACCAGTTTGCCCGGTTCGAAGTGCGTCGCGTCAGGGCCGACGGCAGCGACACGGCCTATTGCGCTTGTTCCGGGGACGAAGGGAGTAGGGAAGGGGTAGGAGCGTTTACCGGAGTAGACCTCGCCCATGTATGAGATTAGGGGGGAGAAGAGGATGCGGACGATGGCGCTGCCTGGAGTGGCGGTGGGGAGAGGGCGAGTTTCGACTGTGAGGGGCGTGGAGGTGGAGGTGAGGACCAGTGCTGAGTATGTAGTGGGGAGTTCAGAGGCCCCAGCGGTCGTTGTCGTTGGGGCGGACATGATGTTTGGTTGAAGGCTGTGGTTTGGATGAAAGATTGGGGGTGCGTGAAGCTTTCTGAGGTCGAAATGCAAGGGCTTATATCACTACCACGCATGACGGTAGGTTTTATAAGCATGGTCATTCACATTAGTTGAAGTTGAATTGTCGTATACAGTACCTGCTTGCCGACGTGTGCGCGTACAAACTCCATCACCTGCCGAAGCGCACGCGTTCTGTAAGTTCGCAACCGCACGCTGAACTCCGCGCCCATCAACTCATCCTGGATATCTGCTCGCACTTGACGATTTGTGACCCACATCGCATCGACGGTAAGTTACGTTCGGTGCCGATGAAATGTGGGTCCCCGGTTGTGAGTTCAGCTGACCACTACTTGTACGCACGCGAAATCGGCAGGGCTTGTTGCTACATAGCGCAGGGAATAAAGATGTAAGAATGGCGAGGCATGCGACTTGGAAGCGCATATAGTGTCAACATTCTTTTGGTTGATCATATGAGCTCCTCGAAACTTGAGATTTCCATCAGAATCTCAAAGTCCACAACTACACAGCCAAACATTACGGTAGGAAAGGTAGAAAAAATGACCGACTGCTGGAACAATCGCTATTACGATATCCGACGTCTAGATCCAGCTGCGTTGGTCGTTCGATGTCTAGGTGCAGAATTTCGCAGGAGCTTGTGCGGGACGAGAGGCGCTGAACCCGAAGTGGTTCAGGTTGGGGCAGAAATTCGCGGGACGGGTGGCGCTGAACTGGAAATAGTCGGCAAAGTTTTGGTACGGGATGACGCCGTCGCAGAAGCCGGTCCTGAGTTCAGAAAGTCAGCCGTAATCACAGCGCCGGATCCAGTTTTCTGTACGGGCAGAAATGAAAACAATCTTGTTCTGCACGCTCAGAACTCGTGCGGACAAAGGCGGTATGTGTTCTGTTACAGCAGAATGTAATCGTGATTCATTTCTGCGTTGGCAGAAAAGAGGATCCTTCGCTATGAATATTCGAAAGGTCGAGAGGTCGGATGGGGATGGCATGGAAGACGTACCAGGACGCCATACGGTGATAGTCAAAAATGGCGGGTTCAGGGCTGGTCGGGTATGGCCCATGGGTGACGTCGAGAGTGCTGTACAAGGCAAGGTAAGTTAAGATAGATGAAGAGAGGTGGAAATATCTGAAAAATTACTGACCCATAGTATGCGTCGATATAGTTCTGCTGAGTACTCGTCTGTCCACCCTTCGAGATAGTAACGAAGACCTATCAATGAGGTAATGGCCTTCAATCTCGTGAAACCCTCTTGTAGCTATAGAAATTCGGAGCAGTGAAGAATCTCCACTACTCACAGGCGGCGGGACCCTTTGGGAAGTCAGACTGTTGGGAGGCGCTCCGGAGAGGCCCACCTCCTGTCACAGCGCACCCAAGAAATGATCCAAGTTGGCACTCTGTCTCTCGTAGCAGATACCCGCAAATAGACAGGACTCTATAGCCCAGACGTTGTTGAGATCGTACTGAACCTGTCCAGCACATATACGGTGGAGCTGGGCGCAGGATCCGTTGTCGCCGTCTGGGCGCATGATGGAAGCACTGCTGACCAGGGTAGCAGAAGCGGTGACGAGAGAGACAATGGTGGTGATGGAGAAGCGCATCGTTGATTTGATAGCGAAAAGGGGCTGGTGAGTGACTCGATGGGAGACAAAGAAAAAGAGCACATATGCTGCCTGTATATATACGCATCCTACGATTCACCAACTGCGACTTCAAATTTTCTGGCACGGCATGTATGCAGTCCCTCCTAAGCCGAGCTATCTTCTCTTGTGTAACATAACTTTGGATTGTGACGACGCATGAATAAGCCCTGACCTAGTAGTGTACCGGTTTAAAAAATGATTGGGGAGGTCCTCGTCGCCTTAACAGATCCTCATGCCATAGACCAAGCTGTACTCGGCTCGAGGACTTATGATGATCTCGAGGGATACGAAGTCGTCTAGGAAATTCATGGTACAGTCGTCGCTCTTCATCACGTGAACGATGGGAGGAAGCGTTTCCCGGCCCCAGGAATGGCAGCCCAACGAGAGAATGTTTCACACATTTAATTACATGCGTCACTTATAAATGCGCCTGGTAGGATCTTTCGACGACTCCATACAAATAAAGATTCGGGAACAGTAGACAATACGCCCCAGAATCTGTACGGCATGTCGACGAGGGCAGTCTGTTCGGTACATAATGAAATGCTGGGAGTGCTGCTCAAGTTGGTCCGAATAACATCCGAGTTCGTTTTCATGCATTGGTGCATGATGCATCAAACGGTCCACGAAAATTGGAAGGAACAATGGTGGAAATATTGGGCGTAAGTCCGCTAGGGGGCGAAACGTGAACTATGCAAAGAAAAACCGACTCCCCTGAAGTCTACCCGAGAGCCGAGTGAACCTTACATGAAGGGCATTCATAATACCATCTTTGTTATACAATGCACACTGTGAAACCTCCCCGAGTTTCCGGAGCGTAGACTCTGCACTCAGCGTGTTTGGCGCGCGACGTTCTCGTCGGCTGGGAAATCCGGACAATATCCGAAAACATTCTCTGTGCTCATTAGAAGAGCTTTTTCTGGACGGCTGAATAGCAAATCTGCATGGTCCATGTTACAACGCTGTCCAGATATTGATCCATTGTGCAGAATCTGGGCCCCGCAACCTCTATATTGGTTCCGCGGAGTTACTGCACCAGGAACTCGAGAAATCGAACCAAACAATCAACCAAAACAGAACCTCATCACGGCTACCAGGTATGTCCAGCCAGACGTCTCCGGCTGCAATGCAATATTTGAACAAGGTGGTCAAGACGCCGAAATCACGGTCGTTGTCAGCTTCAAGTTGACCGATCCGGAGAAAGAGCGACAAACGCTGCCTGTGATAGTGGCTACAATCGCCAACGTCGCACAACGGGGCGTGATTGAACGTTACATCGACGTGCAACAATATCTCGACAGTAATACTGAGCTAGGCCCTTGTTCAACATAGGCGTGAAACGCTCCTACATGCGCGTAGAAAATAAGGATACCAAGATATTTATTCCGGGATTCTGTCCAAGAGTGGGTATTTATCAATCCTAAAGCTTTGCGTTGTGATGACTCTTGAAATCTGTACCACGCGATGAGTTCAAGTAATGAAATATCAGAGAAATGCTTACTGGGGGTGGGATATTCGCACAACACCACTTCGTCGTCTACTGCTTGGGCGAATTGACCGTACAGCTTGGACGAGGGGTCCAGAAACAGTTCGAACGCGCGGATGACTGGTGATTATGCGCAAAGACCAAATGTGACGAGTTACGATGTTGAATCACATGACTTCAGGGAGGAATAAGGAGTGTAAAAGTGGAAGACGTGCCTGTGTCTCGTGTGGTCGAAAGACCTAGTCTGCGGAGCTTGCGTTCGACTTCTGGAGGGATGAGAGGCGTGAGAGTGAAGCCCTGTAGAGCCGATGTGAGTTGAATGAATGCCAGCGAATTTAAGTGGATGGCTAAAAGATAGGATGATGCGTACCGGGCCCACAGCACTGAATGACATAAATGAGTGAATGGAGAAGGTCAACAGGAAGCGGTGGTGGAGACATACTTGACATAGATATTGTCTCTAACCGTTTGGGCTGCCGTGGCACGTACGAGTGCCAGGACGCCGGCTTTCGAGGCCGTACTACGGATTAAAGCTCGTCATTGAACATTACAGATGGTAACAGAGAATAAGCGTACTAAAGAGGATCCGTATTTAAAGGGAAGACGGATGACAGCGAGGCGGTGACGACAATTCGGCCTGGGTGGACGTCGTGGGTTCTGAAGTACCGAACGGCAGCTAGACATTCATAGGAATTGTCGTTGTGAGCGCACTATGCTGGCGTACTCGCGGCGGTATGGACTCGACCTTCGATGGTGTATATGACACCTATGAGGTTGACGTTAATGGGCGACAACTAGATATGGTATCATGAGTAAAATGTCATGGAACGCCCACAAGGGGGCTATGAGGGTCACGAACGTTAACTCCTCCCTGTTGATACGGGAAACCACGAGCGGCGACACCGGCGTTCCTAAATACCAAACCACAATGAGCGCCTTCCGGGGCGAACGATATGGGAACACTGACGGAAAGACGAAGTCCAGTCTGGCTTTCGGGTCGACTTTGGTAATCATCGAGTGAGCCCTCTCAAAGGCATCAAAGACAGCATCCCGCTTCGTCACGTCCAGCTGTAAGAAGTGGGCTATGGGAGCAGGAACGCTCTGGTTCAACCCTTTGACAAAAGTTGTACCGGCATTGGCGTTAATGTCGGCGCAGACCACGACAGCGCTGGTGGACATTGGTTAGCTGGGTGAATGTACGGAATGCCAATGAAAAACTAACCCGTTGGCGGTGAGATGCTCTGTGAGATACTTTCCGATGCCAGATGCGCCACCTGCAGAATGAAGGAGTAGATGAGCTGTCGTGTCTCAAAGTATTCTGCCATAGTCCGTATAGGATAACCTGCCTGTTATGAAGGCAGTCTTTCCAGAATACTTCATCCTAAGCTATAAAAAGGAGGTAGAAGTATAGGACAGAGTTGACAGCCGCCTACAGCATGTAAAGCCTGGGAGTGCAGCGAGCTTTCACTTCGTCGAGCAAGCACCGCCATAATTGATGGTGGCAATCAGAAGGAGTTGCTGGCGTGCCGGTTTGGTTGCCGGGAAGCGGGCTCCGGCAATCTCCGAGAGGGGTAGATGCTCGAGCTCTATCAGATAAGATAATGTTGCACACTCTCCCGCTGACGGCCATGTTCAGCGCTTTGAGGACGGCCTCAGCCAGGTCGCTCCCTCATCCTAGGCATCCTCTCGCTTTCAATATTCGACCGCATAGACCTATTATATTCTGTAGAAGATATCAGAATCTTGCCCAGAATCAGCAGGATCCAAAGTCTCCTCAATCCAAGGCTCAACCTCCCGCTCCCACCACCACGTCCACGCCCAGTCCTTCACCGACATCGTCAGCCTCACCAAGGGATCGACAGGACCTTACAGCAAATGAGACTCAGATATCTGCAGGAGAGCAACGAAAGCGAGACTGGTCTATCATTAGAAAACTCGCAGTTAACGTCTGGCCGAAGGATGACTGGGGCACACGAGGGCGTGTACTGCTCGGTGTTGGACTGCTTGTAGCCGGGAAGGTATGTTCTCACGTACGTGTCGGTATACTCAGTTGTAACGATTTTTAGGTGCTGAATGTGCAAGTCCCGTTCTTCTTCAAACAAATCATCGACGTCCTCAACATTCCCATATCATCCGACTCTGCAGTATGGGTCGTGTGCGGGTCTGTCGTTCTTGCGTGTACGTCGTCCGGTTTGCCCCTTGTTCTGCAGGATATTCTTGGACCACCGCAAGAAGGGTATCAATCGCACCATCGCTTGAGCTGCCGCTCCATCGCTTGCGTTGCTGTTCCCTGCGATTGAACATACGGATGGCGTGCTCCGCGCCACACTGCACAAGCCTCTGTGGCACTCGTCGCGCAGGTACTCTTGAGCTTTTGAGGTATTGGTTGCACCAATATTTGCTCCTTTATGAGATTCACACGCCTGTCACTCCTCTCACAACGATATTATACCATGGAAATATCATCCGGAACATGCAATCGTTTGCCGAAGGACGCGTAGCACTTTCAGCGCTTGTGGCACGCCGCACGACCCCATCCGTGTTTCATGGCCAGGTCATCTTTTACATTTTAGGAGAGAGATGAACGAGCCCTAATCTACAAACCCTATGACACTGTGCATGTGAGGTGTTCTGACCCCTTCCTTTGCGTGAATACAGATGGAGGCGCTCGCATCGGTGCCACACTCTTTGGCGAACTCCTCAATGCCGTCTTCGCCAACGTAGGCCAACGCGCCGTTCGCAAAGTCGCTCGACAGACATTTGAGCACCTTCTCAACCTCGACCTTCGTTTCCATCTATCTCGGCAGACGGGTGGTCTGACCAGGGCTATTGATCGAGGAACGAAGTAAGTCTGTATTCCAATCGCCGTTAGGACAGAGCATGTAACTGACATATAGTACGCGTCAGAGGCATCACATTCATTCTGCAGGCCATTTTATTCCGTGTGGTTCCCACTGCACTGGAAATCTCTCTTGTTTGTGGCATTTTGGTACGTTAGGGCGATGAAGTGCCCTTTCCAGATGTTGATCTATTTCCGTAGACGTACAAATTCGGATGGGACTACGCAGCGATTACTCTCGGCACAATGGCAGCGTACACTTGGTTCACCGTAAAGACTACTTCATGGCGGTATGTCTTTCCATTACACTGGCCGCTTTCCGATCTCGCAGACTGAAAGCTACATGTGGCGTGTCATGGAATATAGGACGCAGTTTCGAAGAGATGCAAACGTCGCGGATAACAAGGCCGCAACCGTTGCTGTAGACTCGTTGATGAATTACGAGGCTGTCAAAGTAAGTCTCGTACATTTTTCATTCACATAACTATTCTGAGTCTTTCGCGTGTAATGTTGAATAGCACTTCGGGAACGAAGCCTACGAAGTCAAACAGTACGACCGGCATCTGAAGACATACGAAAAGGCGTCCATTAAGATTGCGACATCACTGGCGCTCCTCAACTCTGGCCAGAATATCATCTTCTCGACGGCCTTGACGGGCATAATGTTCTTAGCTGCACAAGGGGTTATCAATGGTAAGACCCCCTCGCTCAACTGTGCTCTAACGTGACAACTGAAGTGACGCGCGTTCCAAAGGCTCGATGACCGTTGGAGACCTCGTCATGGTCAATCAGCTTGTCTTCCAGCTATCAATGCCACTCAACTTCCTAGGGACGATTTATCGCGAGATCAGACAGAGCCTGCTCGATATGGAGGTTCTGTACAGCTTACAAGATCAGCACGAACCACCGAAGGTTTGCATCTCCCTCCAATCTTCAATCTTTCTTAAGACCGCCTCACATTTTACAATTACGCTCGAATACAGGACCTTCCAACCGCCAAACCTCTCTCCCTCACCGGTGGATCCATAACCTTCGACAACGTCGCCTTCGCTTACAACCCCACCCGTCCCATCTTCCGCTCACTCTCCTTCACTATCCCCGCCGGTTCCAAAACCGCGATCGTCGGTCCATCCGGCTGTGGCAAATCCACTGTCTTCCGCCTTCTCTTCCGGTTCTACACGCCGCAATCCGGCCGGATCCTCATCGACGGCCAGGACATCATGCAGTGTCAGCTCGAGAGCGTGAGGAAGCACATCGGGGTCGTGCCACAGGATACGCCACTCTTCCACGAAGACGTGATGCATAACGTGAAGTATGGGAGATTGGGGTATGCGGCTGGGCAGGTGGAAGCGAGCGATGATGAGGTTATGGAGGCTTGTAAGAAGGCGAGGGTACATGAGAGCGTGATGAGGTTGCCGAATGGCTATCAGACAACGGTGGGGGAGAGGGGCGCGATGTTGAGTGGAGGGGAAAAACAGAGGTTGGCGGTGGCGAGGGTGTTGTTGAAGGACCCCCCGATCTTGTTCTTTGATGAGGCGGTGAGTTTCCATCTAGTTCCCTAGGGCATTGGGATTGGCGTGCTGACGAGCTGGTGTGGCGGTGGCGCAGACTTCGGCATTGGACGCGCATACCGAGGCTGAACTGATGCGGAACATTAATTCGATGCTCGCTGATAAGTCTCGGACTAGCATATTCATAGCCCATAGATTGCGGACTGTTGTCGAATCTGGTACGTGTACTCTTCTCGAACCATACGGTTGCCTGAGGACTCATCATCACTGCTTTACAGACTTGATCATCGTGCTCAAGGACGGCGAGGTCTTCGAGCGCGGGACGCACGAAGAGCTGATGAGGATGCGTGGGCTGTATTGGTCGATGTGGCAGGAGCAGGCTGCAGATATTTTCCAGGACGAATCCCCGGAACCGACTGCTTGAGCCCTCTCACTTGGGGAGACATCCCTAATCGGACAATAGCGGTCTCGCTTGTATGTATTTTTGAGCGTTGTATGCCCGAGAGCGTTGCTTTTGCCTCGGATCTGCGTAATTGTGAGCTGGCGCTATCATGAAGGTAGGGATGGTTTCAACACGGGAACACAACTTATCTCGCTGGCGTTGTGGGTATTGGCTCTGTTTTGGGTGGCCTCTCGGTGCGTCTTCTCTTTCTATAATTGTAAGACACATTATTGACCTGCAGGTCCAGTAAGTGATGTCTAATTTATAGAGTGCATCCCTCGGCAGATATCCTACGACGGTACGTTCTTCTGTTCTTGGGAATAAATATTGCTGACTCCTATGAGCATTCGTAGCTTTATATGGTGGCCCTGTCAGCCGATTTCCCTACGAAGGCGTCATGCTCACAGTATCATCGAGCGGAAATATTCGCTCAAAGCTTGCTACTTTGCAGTCGACTGGACTGATGCCCACCGGCCATCGCTTGCACTCCATGCTTACAGACAGAGCACTCGATCTAAGTTACATACCCCTCTAGACTGGTCGTTCTGTCTTTGTTTGCACTTTCCTCTCGGTCTTCCTCCTTGACAGATATACTTTGACAAACCGTCTCCTCAAGTGCATCCGGTGCAACGACCAGCCAAATGCAGGCAACCACTTCTGTTCCTGAAGGCATAATGAAATAAGGTACCCGATGCGCCACTAACAGCCGGCGGTTGGTGCTCGTCCTCCGGATCAACTTCAAGTTGACAACGACCCTGGTGCCTTGACAACCATGATCATTGACGGTCGTCGTCGACGGACTGGGGAGGAGGAGAGAATGTTGACAAGGTCCTTTTCGTATCTTTTGTTGGCTTTTTCAAGCTCATACTGATTTCTCTCCCTTCTCGTTCCTAGCATGAACTTGGGTAAAGCAGATGCTGAGACATCGATTCTATACTGCTGGCCCTCGTCCCTTCAACCTCCGAGCCGAGTAAGCAGTACGGCTCTTGGCAGACCATGTTCAATAATTCTCCGGCTATGTTTTCTCTCGGCATGAAACCGCAGGACCACTGTCACCAAACTGTCACGTGTATCCTGACATTTTGCTGACATCCATAGTGATGATCGTATCCAAAGGGAGGCTTTTGTGTTTTGCACAATTGACGCATCATCACCTCCATACGCATGCCACATGCTCGATTTGAGGCTTCTTTGCTGCGGCACATTTCTAAGAAACTTGCTGCGCTTACTAGACTCATCTCAGTGACTCTGTCAATAGTCGTGTATTCGGACGCCCACACCTGCGACCTAACGGCTGGAAGGTCTACAGCGAACAGACATTGCTTTGGACTGCATACGAAAAGATAACTTTCACCGTCATTATCCGACTGGAGAACTCTGGTTCATCGCGTTGGCCGCAATATTGGCTCGTCATCATCGATGGGCTGGACCCACCACATCACTCTCCGTCAGACTGCTCGGTGCCTTTCATCAAGATCTCCGCCTTCGCTAAGAGGGTTTGGTCTGGATGTCGTTAGGAACTCAACCGGCCCAGCAAACATGATGAAGCAAGAACCGGTCGACGGTCGCATGAACGGCAACTCATCGGAATAAATCGCAGCATGATGCCAAGAATCAGCCCATCGCGGAAGGTCCTGAGAGGGTATATAAAGACCTCCCGAACACGGTATGTTTTCCCCTCACCAGCTTGCTTGTTCTCGTTCTCTTTCATCTCTTCTCTAGTATCCGAATCGCTAGCCGACTTGCCAGTCGAGTCCCTCCTTTCTTTTCCTCATTACATTCTTTTTTCTGTGCTCCTTGCACGCGTCGCCGCCAACGTACTAGCTACGCCACCCTCCACTATCCACACTACCTTCAATTTTATTGCACTCCAACTTTTTGACAACATCAACGATGGTTTTCTCTATCAAATCTGCAGCTCAGGCTAGCGCTATCCTCGCTTTCGCAAAACTTGTAGCGGGACACGGCTACGTCCAGTACGTTTCTCCCTTCTCGGAATGTCATGTGACGTTCTTACTCATGCTTACCCCTTGTACTCTTGCGTTCAGGGAACTCAACATCGGTGGTACAGAGTACTCCGGCTACCTTCCTTACAACGACCCATACACCACCCCCACACCCACCCGTATAGTCCGGTCCTTCGACGGAAACGGTCCTATCGCTGATTTCACCACTGGCGATATTACTTGCAATGACGGTGGCGACACGGCTGCTGGGGCCAGTGCCACTGTAGCCGCTGGTGACTCTGTCGACTTCTTCTGGACTGCATGGCCCGATTCCGTAAGTTACCCTGCCCTTGCCTCATGCGAACGAAGACTAAGTACAACCTTCAATCATTTAGCACAAAGGTCCCACCATGACTTACATGGCCAAGTGTGACACCGATGATTGTTCGACGTTCTCAGGCCAAGACGTATGTTCATGCTTCCATCTTATACGTATCGTGATTCGTTCTAATTCGCTCCTCGTAATTCGACAGGGTGATGTCTGGTTCAAGATCGACCACGCCGGTCTTGACGCCGATCTCACTACGTGGGCTTCAGATGACCTCATTGCGAACAACGTATGTTCCAATCCTCATTCAACCAGTCTCCACCCTTCTGATCTCAGAACCCGAATGCCACAGAACTCCTGGACCGTCACCGTCCCTTCTGACATCGCATCCGGTGGCTACCTCCTCCGCCACGAGCTTCTCGCCCTTCACTCCGCCGGCACCGCCCTCGGTGCTCAGTTCTACCCAATGTGTGCCCAGGTTGTCGTCACCGGTGGTGGATCCGCTTCGCCTTCGGGCGTGGCGCTTCCCGGCGCGTATGCGACTAACGACCCCGGTATGTTCTGTTTGCTTGATCTCTGCGTACCAGGGTCTAGCCACTCACTGACGCAATTACTTCAGGTATCTTGATTGATATCTACCAGAGCTTGACCACGTACGCTATCCCTGGTACGTTCTCCTTCGCTGTCGACTACCCTATCGGTGCAAAGCTGATGCTTCGGTGGATAAGGTCCCACCGTGTACACCGCTGGTGGTTCCACCGGTAGCGCTACCTCTGCTGCTACCTCTGCTGCCGCCACCTCCGCCGCCGCAAGCTCTTCTGCAGCTACCAATGCGGCCTCATCCGCTGCCGCCTCGTCCTCCGCCGCTGCTGGCTTTTCATCTTCCAGCACCACCTCGACTGCATCGTCCACTGCGACTGCTGTCTCCTCATCTGGCTTCGTGACGAGCACGACGGCTGCGGCATCGTCGACTGCCGCCGTTACAAGCTCAAGTAGCGCTGCCGCACTGTCCTCGTCGACGGCTGCTGGTACGACGTCTGCGGCTGCTACTACGACCAGCTCCGCGTCGTCATCGACTAGCACTGGCATCGTTAATGCGAACACTTGCATGAATGGTACGTCCTTTTCTTGACTACTCAGTAGCGAACGGTACATGAGTACTGATATACAAACATTATTCTCAGAGTACAACTCGTGCATCGCTGCTTCGCAACCCGACCCCGATTGGACAGGTTGCGGATCGACAAAGGATACGTGCATGGAGGGCGCTGTTTACGAGCGCGTCAAGCGGAGTGGGAGGTTCGGTCGTGTTCTGGCTTGAGAGTATGACTGATATGTTTCCCTCTTCTTTCGTTCCCCTGTCGTCAACCTCCTCCCTTCTTTAAGTTGAAGTCAACATACACAGAGTGTATTGTTTTTTATGTATAGGGTCTTTGAATAGACCCTCCTGCGACTGGCAAATAGCATTCGGCCTCACTTTTCGTGTTGTGTGATTGTAACTTGCATCATGGCCAAATCATGGCTGGAGCGAACAAGATGTCGACTGTTGTCGTTGGCCTAAATCGGTACCACAGACATCCACAGTGACTGTAATGACCTGCTTTCCAGAGTGACCCAGACTGCCTCTAGCTTCAAAGCTTTCTAACGCATTACATACCGAAAGGCAATCAGGGATGTGCTCAAAGAAAAGAGGGAAAAATCGGTTTTATTGTCGGGAATATCCGAGGTCCGAACCGTAGAACGGAAGGAGCACTTACGTCGGCTGTCTTTGCTCTCCATCTCCCACCGACTGGCCTCCTATGGTACGTTCGATAAATAGATAGGTTGCTCCTTCGCCATCATCTTCCATCCAAAGCTTTTGGCAGTATTTTTGACTCGTACTGAAATCTCTAAACGATATGGCAGCTCCTACGTTCTATGACCCTACTTCGCCCGACGAGCAGCCCGTTCCACTCCCCTCTGCGCCGCTCCAGATTATCTCCGAGTCACCGTCCATAGTTCTTCAACCTCCACTCACTCGACGAGGAACTGGACCGGGTCTCATCATTACTCTACCTCCTTCTCTTTCTCTTCAGCCGAATCCGAAGGGAAAGCCGCTTGATCCAGAGCCTGTTCAGAAATGGGCCGAGGAAGGATTCGCCGTCGTGGGTATCACTGCGACAGAAACCGAACTGGAAGCTGCTTTGGTGAAAGCGTTGGATGCTTTGGAAGGATTGGAGGAGGTAGACATCAAGGATAAAGTTGCTGTTCTTGGTACGTCAATCGTAGTCGGCCATCATTTTTCGTGTATCGGGACAGACTTTTTTTTTCGCTGCAGTCCATGAGGAACGCCACTTCTCTGCGATCTCGTCAATCGTATCCAAGAACCCCAAACTCGTCTGCGTCGCAGCCTACATCTCTTCGGGATCCAATCTATCAGCTACATCCACCTCAATCCCCACGCTCTTTCATATCTCCTCCCCTGACGCCGAGGCGCCTCCATTCGATGACATATCCGCCAAGGTCGTCTCAGCCACGCAAACCGCCACATATCCATCGACATCCTCTCCCTTCTTCGTCCTTCCGAACTCTTCCTCCTACGATCCCGGAAATGCATCGCTCGCGCACACTACAACCCTTGTATTCTTCCGCAAACATCTGGGTGGCCCGAATTTCGATATCGCCGCGATCTGGGAGGAACATACCTACTTCGAGTTTGCCGCGAGGACTGTGGCGAGAACTATGGGGACAATGGTGGTACGCACTGACTTGTCTCATGTGGTCTGTTCACGCTCGCTGAATTGTGTTTGATTGGTGAAGGCTGAGCCGTATGTCAATCATGTACCAACTATGACTGGTGGGATCGGCCGCAAGGCTCTTTCGGAATTCTACCGAGACCACTTCATCTTTGCGTACGTTCTCGTTGGTTCTCAATGCTTACCTTCCTCGCACTGACTGCCGATCTCGTGCTCAGTAACCCAGCCGACACACGTATGCAAACCGTATCACGAACGGTAGGACCTGATCGCGTCGTTGGTTCGTTACTTCTGCTGCCCTTCTGTTTCCGTATCCGTACTGACAACACTTCCTCAGACGAATTCATACTCAGGATGACACATGACCGTACGGTCGACTGGCTGCTGCCTAAGGTCCCGCCAACGGGCAAGAAGATCGCAGTACCCATGCTCGGTGTCATCAATGTCCGAGGCGATCGTCTCTACCATGGTGCTTTTTTCTCATTATTGACCCCTCTACCGCTTCCTCCGTTCTCTGGGATCTGTATGCTCATATCATTGGTATATAGAGCATATCTGGTGGGACCAATCCACCGTCCTCCTCCAAATCGGCGTAATCCCCGCACACGTCCCTTGGCCCCTCTCCGACTCTTCGTTAGTAGGACCTACACCGGAAGGCAAGAAGCTGAAGTTGCCGATCTCTGAGGGCGATAGTAGCGCGAGGTTGTTGATCGACGAGACGGGTGGGGTAAGTAATGAAATGTTTGAGGAAGGTTGGGGAGTCACGGATGCCTGATTGACGAGGACGTAGCGGCACAGAGGTAATAGCGGTATGGTTTGGAGTATAGATTTATCGTGTATTTTGCCATTTTATGATCAGTCTTTCATGCATAATGTTGACCCGCAGAGAAAAGAGGATCACTGAGAGACGAGTACCGATTTCCTTTCATAGAACTACCACACGGGGAACATCAACATCAATCTGAACGCTCATTCCAGAGGGCTTCCAAAAATGTAAGCATCGCTCGAGTCAAGTAGGAACCTCAATCTGAGAAGGACACGGACACGGCCGGCTCGTCAGCGAGGTACGACGAACTAGGGACAACTATAGACTGGTTTCAGGACTCCACGTACCTTCGCCACAGCTCTATCCACTGCCAATGCAAACTTTTCGCTGAACTTGCGGACCTCCTCCTTCGCCCTCATTCTGCAATCCATGTTGTTACAGGCTAGCGCTATCCTGAAGGTTTCGTCCAAGCGGTGCTGATCCTTCACAGTCAAGCTACAAGGCGTGATCGTTAAAAGCGGACCGGTCTTCTTCACGAACTCGAACAGCCATTTCGGACCATTCAAGTGAAACATGTTCCCCCAATTTTCGTGTTTGGCATCCGGAGAAGGTGACGACGTTGATGGACAGTTGACACTGACATTACAAGTATTGCAAGAATCGTATTGCGGTATGTCCGTCATCCAGGTCCAGTCCTCAAGGGCCACTTTTGGAGCAGTTACAGTAGCATCATAATGGTATTGTAGGAGGCACGAGTACTGTTTTGCCGTCATCACTTTTAAGTCGGGGGACGTGGATAGTGGAAAAAATGGACGCTCAAGCGTTAATAGACATGCGATGCGTTTCATGTCTGCGAAATGATATCGGGAAGCATGGGCGTAGGCCAGGACAGGGTCTGCTCGTGCCGCTGTGATGCAAGCCCGAAGCAAGTTGTCGGAAATTTTGAAGAGTTGGTATTTATCGAGCGCGGTGGAAAGAGACTTGTATTCGTCGAATGTCATAGGACGGGAGGATAAATCGTCGATCAACGCAAAGTGCGCCAGGAGAAGAACACGCAACACGGTTGGATGCTTCCGAGCGGCATCTTTATTGAGTGTCAGTGTGGGGGTCGCTGGGAATCCCTGTGGGTCTCGTTCGGAAGGGTTTTCGACGTTAATGGCATAACATGACAGTAGAACGAGTCGAAGTATTCTAGATGACTCCGTGAATGGCGCAATGGGAAGACCATCTTCGTAGATCTGTTGTGTATTCGCGGTCGAATCGGTTGACGATGTAAGTAGTCGGAAGAGTGAACATGTCACTGAAGAACGGGGAGGCCAGGGACATGATAACGGTATGGACACGGAAGCCCACGTTATCATAGGATCGAAAGATGATGTTGGCGCTGACATCGTCAAAGGGGGAGAGAGCCTTCCAAATTCTGTTCCCGGGGGCAGTCGTCGTATCGGTGTTGTTTGCCATCTCGAAAGGGATCCCGAAGAATGAGCTGGGCTCTGTAATGTGTTTAACAGGAGCCAACACATCATCACTCACTTGGAAGTCGGGATGGCAGAAATGCGGGCTATGTTTTGAGGTTCGACGATTTACGAGGATGTGTGTGTTGGTACGAGGAAGTCAGTTATCGGGGGTCGACCGGTCAAGGGTGGGTTGAAGGTGGGCCAAGGGCCGTATTTGTGTGGCGTTGGTGGGAATCAGAGTAGATGGGAATCCGATCGTGCGTCCCACGTCGAAGGTACTATAATCATAGGGTGTGATGATTGCCTAACTAGTAACTATCTTCGGGCCTGAAACAGTCATACACCTAAGTATTCGAAATGACGAAGAAGGGGACCCTGGGTAACACGAAGCGTCGCATAAGTAACATCAGACGGTATGGCCCAACAACGACGCCTACAATACTTGTACAAGCGAAGCACAGACTAAAGAAACATACACTCGATCGAGGTCTCCAAAAACAAATCGGCACAGATAACGCCTTCAGATGGGAATCTCAATCTGACGAGGACACGGGCAAGAAAGTGTATCAGTGTAGTGCCTCCAACCACAGGTAGATTGGTTCAAAGCAGAGCATACATTTGCGACAGCTTCATCTATCGCCATTGCTAACTCATCGCTAATCTTGCGCAATGCTTGAGCAGCTCCCTTCCTACATACCTGGTCCTTGCAAGAGTTCGCAGCATCCAGCGCACTGTCTAGGCGTGCCTGTTCCTTCACAGTCCACCCCTTAGGTACATTTTCTATCGCGCCTGCGCTTTTCTCCAGGAAATCAAATAGCCACTTTGGCCCCCACACAGTACGCGTAAAATCTGGCCACATCGCGTGCAAAGGGGTGCAATCATGTTTGGAAGATTGACATGCCATGCAGGACTTCGGGCTGTCTGCATCCTTCAACCACTGTAAGTCATCGAGACCGAGCTTTGCGGCCACAGTTCCAGCGTCCTGGCGATACTGAACGAGCTTCGCCATTTGGACGCCTGTCATGCAGGCCAAATCAGGTGAGGTAGATAGAGGGAACAACGGCCTCTCCAACATCAACCGACACGCCGCCTCTTTCAACGGCGCGTTCTGGAATCGACAGGCCTGCGCGTAAGCCACCGCTGGGTCCTCGCGCGCCGCTTCGATGCAAGCCAGCAGCAGAGTGATGGAGATGTCGGAGACCTGGTAGAGGTCGAACATGCAGGATAGGAGTTTCAGGTCCTCGAGCGACAGAGGCTTGGAGCGGAGTTCATCGCGGAGAGAGTTGTGCGACTGTACAAGCGGTCGGAGAACTGCTGTCTCGCGAGTGACAGGCTTGTCGAGTGTGAAATCGGGGGCGAGTGGAAAGCCTTGCTCATCAGAGCCGCGAGAGGCTTCGACGTGTATTGCGTAGCAAGAGAGGAGGAACAGTCGAACTGTATGTGCCTCGCTATACGCGTCCAAAAAGGGGACAACACGGAGTCCATCCTTATATATCTGTGGCGGATTGGAGGCGGAGCGTGTCGGCGATGAGGCTTTCGTAGCCGGAAGAGTGAACATATCGTGGAAGAATGGGGAAGCGAGCGACATGATGCTGGTGTGGACACGGAAATCTGTGTTATCGCTGGATCGGAAGATGATGTCGGCATTACTATCATCGAAGGGAGAGCGGGCGTCTCGGATAGTATCGTCGTCGCTGTCGGACATTCTGCGGGCGCTTTCCTGATGAACGCTTCAACCTATGCCAGAGAGTAGCAGGTCAATCTTCGATCACTCACGAGTAAGGTAGGATGTCGATGGTTCAAAGTTATGCTGAAGGTCCTGATGGTCTGTTGAAACAGATGTGTTAGTTTGGAACGTACTCAGTGAAAAAAAATGGAATCGACTGACCACGAAAGAATTTCGGGGGGTTGACGCTTGCGAAAGATGCAGAATGGGACGGTGGTACGAGGTCAACGGTACTGTGCTCTTGCAGTGACGTACCTAGCCGCTGCCAGTGAGTGGTCTAGTTTGTGTGGCGCGTGTGGGAATCCGTCATTGTATCTCACGTCGAAGCCACCCAAACGCAATGGCGATTGCCTACTCTGGAACACGGTTTCGGGGTGGCGTGCGCAATACCTCACGAACCAAATAGAATTCGAAGCTAGTGGCAAACTAAGAAGACGACATAGCGGTAGTGAAAACATGCATGGGAATAAAAATACAATAAGATGGTGACATGAGGAGGGGGCGGGTTGAGGGTACGAGCTGACATGAAACATAAGGTGGGAAGAGGGAAACAGATGAGGCAGAACGGGACGAGACAGGGTTAGTTAGTCCTTGAGAAGCTTTCGAGCCCCAAAGGGTCACGGATTGGGTTCAGTACGCGAGAAAGTTCTTAATAGTGCGAGACGATGCAATACATACGAAAGGAGGAAGAGGTGGGAGGAGAACGTTGCCCGGGTGCGGAGTGATAGACAGAGTCGACAGTCTATGAGACCTCCTCCATATCCTCATCCTCCTCCTCGTCCTCGTCGTCATTATCGTCTTCCATACCAGCCATTGCCGCGTCTCGATCGGCCTCTTCTTTCGCGCTGAGTTGCAGAAGAGACATCGCCTCGGCGGAGACTTCGCCCTTGAGCTATATTTGCCACACAGGAGTAACAGTGTCAGCCCTTCGAATCAGATACAATCGTAGGACAAACAAAGCCTGCAATCTCAAAGAGAATCGGAGAGCTGAGTGTGGAAGAAGAAACGTACAGCGGAATCCTTGAAACCAGGCTTCAGTTCCCAGTGACCATTATGTTCACCGCTCCGATGCAACGTGGCGATATCATTAAGAATCTCTTTGAGGTAGACTTCCGGCTGCTGGAGCCTTTCACGGAGGAGTTTGATAGGCCAGAATTCGCGCTCTCTGAAAATCCCAAAGAGCATATCGAGAAGCTGGTTCCGTGGCATACGCGCCATGCGCTCGAATTGACCCTTGACACCTTTTTGCTTGGGTTTCTGTATGTTGCCACGCCGTACCGTTCATCAGCAATGTCCAATATCAACCGGGAGGTGGGAGCGGTGAAGACGAGTAAGCTCACCGAAAGATCCGTGAATCCAACCGTGCTGGTAACGCCGCTCGAAAGCCTGTTAATGCCACCCTGCCCACCAACACCCATTCCCTTCTCGTCCAGATACTTCACCTGCTTCACCGGACTCATCGCCATTCTTGTCCTCTCCTTGACTCTCTTCCTATATCTCTCGCTCAACCTCGGCCTCAGATTACACTCATGCTTAATCTTCCCCGTCATGATCGTCGTCCGAGCTCTCGAATTGACGGGTGGGATTGTCTGCGACGACGAGCCTTGAGAGGAAGTTGGTGTGGTGACGGTAGGGACGGTGGGTCGTTCGGCAATGACGATTTGGTTTTGGACGTCTTGGTTGATCATGTCGAGCTCGTACTGTTCGAGCGGGGAGTTGGGGTCTGAGAGGTCTGAAGGAATTTGGACAATCATAAAGGGCGGTTCATGCGGCTTCGCGTCATAAACACGGATGGTAGCGAGGTTGACGCCTTCAGCATCGATGGAGGACCAGTAATCCAACAGAAATCTCGGAAGCTGGGGATACGTCGCAATTATATCAGTCTAGATGTTCAGACTACCAAGCCTCGTTCTTGTTGACCCCACAACCGGTGATACGATACACGTTGTAAAACGAGCGCACCTTGACCTGCCAAACCCTTCCCATTCCTGAGTCCAGCAACATTGTCTCGTCCGGGTCTGGCTGACTATCCTCCTCCTGCCCGCCAACGAGAGCGTCTAGCGGCTTCTTCTCGTCTTCAATCATAATGTCGTCCATGATGGGATAGCTAGTCAGGTTCTCTCAGCGGTGGAGAAAATGTCGGATTTTTTGCCTTTCACGAAATCGTAGGTCGTGATAAGATGGAAGGGTAAGTGCAAGGAGGAGATGGAAGTGTCAAGAGACGAAGTGGTGGTGTGGCTAGTTGTTGTCCTGACTCTTGATACGGCTGCAGACGCCACTCCAATGTAGTGTTGCCACGGCTCGGCTCAGAAACCGCTAGTCGCTCGAGCCGAGCCGTTTGCAAGCCGAGCGGAGCCGCGTCAACGGCTTACAACGGTTTTGTGCGGCTAGCGGCTCAAGCCGTTATGCACTTGCAGAACGACATTATATGCAAATATTTGTCTTGCAAGTAGGGCCTATGTATCGAAGAACCTCCAAAGCCGTAGTTTGTAGAGTGTTTGAGGCTTTCGCCTTCATGTTTGACAGCAAACAGTTACAGACCACTCCAAATATGGATATCTGTGTATCGGTGGCGGCTTTTTCCGACGCGCGACCCCACCACGCCACATTTATGCCACATTATTGTGAGCAACAAACGACTCTTTGTTTGTGGCATCTGACTCGACAATCCCCTCAAAAAACACAGCGGTAGGACAGTATTGACCCATACAGTCATACTCCATGGCTTACAAAATGTCCTATGAGGGCGAGTATGCATGTATGAATGCATAACCCACTTAGGCAACGAGCTGAATTGAGTCACGGCTCAGACCGTCAGCCAAGCCGAGCCGAGTCGTCGCGTGGGAAAAGCCGTTACAAGTCGAGCCAAGCTGAGCCGAGCCGAGCCGTGGCAACACTACTCGGAGTCCAATGCGCTCATTACGTAATCGACATGCCCGATACATATATGGGCCACAATATGTCGGAGGCCTCCTTGTTCTCCTCTGTTCTTTTCTACGACAAGCATCTGGCTAGAACTGGCTAGAATCGCCTATGGTCCATACTATATGGATACACATACTTCTATGGCTGCTTTCACCTTGATCTTGATGTACTCCAGAACGAATTGAACTCAGCCATTCTACGCTTGCCTCCCCGGTGCCGCAAATTTTACGCGTCACTTAAATCGGTATGCACAGAGGCCAACATCTCCAACTACTTATCGTAGCCTGATACTCATTGGCTTCGGTACTTACGCTTGGTTCTGTTGCCGTATTTCCCTCACTTGAGCCTGGGCCTTGCGTATCTAAACGCAAGCCTTTCCCTTCTCACCCAACAGAGTAGAACTCGGTGCTTCGCTCGAATATTTGTAAGGTTTGGAGGTATGTGTGCAATTCGCCCTTGATACCTCTCTTTCGCTCCTTGAAACTGAATTGCGCTTTTGTTGAAGGCGTGATCGTGATGAGGATCAGGTTCCTGTCGAGTAGAAAAACCATATAATAGCATCCCACTCTGTAGCAGGATCACCAACGAAACGGAAAGTGGACAAAATTTTCGAGATCATTGTGGGACTTGTTTACGCACCCCGGCGCCTCTAGTTTCAAGCTCCGCGTAAACCAAGGACCCACTCGCTGAAGCGCTAGCGCTTGAACTGTAATCACCATCATCCCAAGCCTGTAACCGGCCTTGCTCGCCCTTTCACCTATAACTGGAGGGGTCATTAGACCAGCACTGTCTGCTCCATCTGACTCTAGAACTTGCTCGATACTCCAGATGACCCCCGCCGATGACTTTGCGCCGTGTTAGTAGCCGCTCGCCTCAGTTGCGCTTCAGTCTGCTCTTCTTCGCACTCGACCCCTCTAATCACCGCTACTGTGAGGCAGTCTGGATGACCTAGGAATTACTCTCTCTAAACTCGGTTACTGAGAAGAACGATATATCAAAGCTCTGGGTGTCACCAGAACTTTTGCTTTTTCTCAGCTGAAGTACACGCCTGCAGGGCGGAAACACTTTGCTAACGGTCAGGACACTCCCACTATGCCCAAAGCGTCTGATGTCCAATGCTTCCTAGTCAGCTCAAGGTTTCTTACTATACTGTATGTATAGCCCTTGAACTGACTCGGATCATGGAAACTCCATTTTGAGGGTATCAATACGAGACGGAGTTCTTTATGTAGAGCGCCTCGCTGAGCACGGTGAATGCTTGCGTTGGTTCCTGAGTGTCTTCCTGTAGACATTCGGGTTTACCCTGGGCAGAGAGCCCTCAAAATACATCATTCCTGAGCACTGTGACGCTCGAGCCTGCTCCATACGTAGGTAGAGCATTCTTGCTCCGTCATAATATCTGTAGGCCGGGTTCTATTGAAGAACATATCCTCACGTCTACATCAGACGACCCAAGTCATGCTATGGCCTCGACATAGACTTGATGCCGAGTACTACTGGTCATGAGTCGGCATGGTCCCTCGAGCTCTAACGAATGGTGCATGTGCATCGGTCATCCCTCGCCGTCATTGATGACACGCCGCTCGTAGCGCGTCCGTAGTCGTAGCCGCAGACTATGCCCAGTACCTTCAACATTGTATCACAGGCGAGTGTATCCAGTATTCTCACGTCGCTGAGTGAGTATATATACACCCAGGAAAAGAGATGTTCTTTCCTCGTCTCATACCGAGTCACAAACCAACTACCTATAGCAAACTCGCCTTCTCCACCTTCTGTTAATCTCTATCTTCACGACTTTCATCATGATCTTCACCAACATTTTCTTCACCGCCCTTGCCGCATCCGCCACCTTTGTCAGTGGTGCCTCTATCAGACGTCAGGACGAGGACAACGGCTCATGCGCCCAGCTCGGGCGTATCTGCGCCGGCCAAGTGCAAAACAGTCTCGCGAACGTTCTCGGAGTCGAATCCTGCTTGTTCGCCGGGGTCTGTTTCGAGAGAAACAGTACCAATTTAGATGATTTCTTGACCACTCTTTGGGAGACTGAGGGCCACAGTGGCACCGCCCCTAAGAGCGTGAGCACCACAAGGGCCACCACGGCTGTGAGTAAAGCCGCTCCATGTTTTTCTCTTGTATGATCCTGAGCAGCTGACGGATCTTGCGCGCTGGTATATGGTAGGTATTCGACGCCATTTCGACAGACGGACAGACTATCACGCAGCAGAACTTCATCGACGGATACTACGGGTTAGTACATCCAGATCAGCTACCTCATGTCCCACGTTGAGCTTATACCTGATGCATTTACATTCCACCAGTTCTCTTGACGCCACCAGCGGCACTTACCCGACCTCTGCTGCCATCGTCATAAGCGATTTCGACCGTGTCGCTGCCTGGTTAGCGTCTCTTCTAACTCATCCCCTTTTCAGATAAACATATTTAATCTGACATTTTCACACAGGACCGGCTTCTGTCCCGGAACTAACGAAGGTATCCCCTACCAGAACTGGGCTGACTACTTCCAGTACAGCGCCACCGTGGGCTCTACCACTTGCCAGTGAACATCGATGAATGAGCATGGGTGCTGGCCTCGATGCCTTGCAGGCCTTGTGAGTGGGACGTTTTCTCTTCATTTTTGCTGATCATTGGACTTCGACGTATTCGTCAACTCGGGACCTCATGTTTGTTATGACTTTGTAACGATCGTAATACATAAATCGCACACCTACTTCGAATTGAGCGATGCTCGTAAGTAATGTATTGCCTTCGCAGAATGGGAGCTGAGTACAAGTTCACATATTATTGGCAAGCCCCAAATTACCTGGTGCTCGGCACGGCACCCAGACTCCAAACCTTCTAATCAAGCAGCAGAGCCTGAGGTTGGAAGTGAGATGAGAGCAGAAAATACAAATATACGCAAAACGGGAAGCCAACGAGCTCGGTTGTGTCCTGTAAAAGGCGACCTGGACGCGCCACCACGTTATCTCCTCTCATTTGTGTATAGAAACCTACCAAATAACAGTATTTTGCGTTGAACTACTCGAGCCTGACAGACACCCGAAGCTCATGATCCCTATAGCTGGTATCCTGCTGATATCCGTCAATCACATATTGTACGACGACTAATGCGATTGACCGCTGTTCATGAATTCACACTGAACGATGAGGCGAGTAGTCCACTTCTAGGTCCAAACCAAAAGGAACTGTATTTTTGGACCGCTGTACACTGATCAGAACTCTTCTACAGTGCAATGGTAGCGTTATATCTGAGAAATCAGGTCGCCACCAGTAGTATAATTACAGAAACATACAAATTGAAGCCTCCTTCGTATCTGCGAGCGGTAATAAATCGTTCAATCCTTGCCCTTATAGGACACTTCCCGCACCAGCATAGGCAGCTGTGGTCCTTCGTCTGGATCACTAATCACATACGGGCGACCGACGATATTTGTTTTCCTCCCGATATCCTCTGGAGTGATAGCAAGTTCCAATTCCAGCGTCCTGAGCAGAGTGAAGAGCATAGCCTTGATCCTAAATATCCCATTGACAACCAAATGTCAGTGTGCGGACGTTGTGGTGTATGCGGAGGTACCAGCGTGGCGGTGACATACTCAATGACTGCAAAGCGGAAGCCCATGCAAGCGTGCGAGCCCGCGAGGAAAGTCATCGTATTATTCCACACGGACGGTATGGCGGAGACTTTATCTGGTATATTCTCCCAACGCTCTGGTCTAGAATCCGCAAGAATATGAGTGCAAAGCACAGGTAGATAGTGTTCAGTGCGGACGCAGCTTACTTGAATTCGTGGGCATCTTCACCCCACAATTCCTTAGACCTGTTCATCGCGCGGATAGGAATATAGATAATGTCGCCTTTGATAACTCTACCAGGGTCAAATTAGCATGTAAAAGAAAGAAGCATCATGATGTACGTACCGAACATGGTCGCTTCTCTTTCCGTATCTATCCAGAAATTCTGTCTCCAGTGGGATTACATCATCCTCCGTAGCGACACGCTCAGAGTTGCTGATCGGTGGATGCAAACGCAGGGATTCGCGTACAACCATGTCAAGGTAAGGCAGCTCAGACAGCTCGTCCATTGTAGGCTTCTCAGAGTGGAGTGCTTGGAGCTCATCACGGAGTTTTTTTTGAGCACGCTGATCGCATGCTAGATTGAACAGTAGCCAGGCAATTGCAGTGCTACAGTAGGTATTTCTCAGCTGGAGTACATATTTCGGAAGAATGGACTAACCTTGTTGTCTCGTATCCAGCAATGAGAAACGCAGGTATCTCTGCAAGGGTACGCCGATCGAGTGAGTATGCGAGTGGTTCGTATACAACACGTTTCAGAACTCACGTGAAACAATCTCGTCATCGGACATTCGCGCGTCTTCAGGGATGTCGGACGCCATATTGGCTTTCATCAGAAGACTCAGAAGGTCGCGTCCCTGCACATCCGCCTTCTGAAGAGATCCAGACGCATTGCTAGACGTATCGGAAGGTCCTGCCTCCTTGAGGACCTGGATTTTCTTCTGCTCTATCATGGAATGACCAAGCCGATGGAGTACGTTGAGTGCTCTCTTCTGCTTCCGTGTCCGTTCAGTGGGCTAGATGTAACAACTTCAGTTAGGGCCACAATGTCGCCGATGAATGAATAGCAAGACACAGACAATGATCCGAGTAACTGGTAGGAAGAGTTGAAGGATGTACGAGATCTCGTCCTCCTTGAAGTCGAATAAATCCCAAACAGCCTGGGTAATCTCGTTATGACCATCTTCTGACGAATTTAGCGTGTTGAAGTCATGATGGAATCCTACGCAGAAGAGTGATCATCCGTTGAGAGAATGTACAATTGTGAGGCCAAATGCACATAATGGCTCGGTAAATCTTCTGCACGTACCCGCTAAGCCTATGATATCAAGAGTGGCCTGGCTTAGCCAGCCATACATGTCGACCGTGACTGCTCCATCCGTGCGATGCGACTGCGTGGTTTTGTGGAGTAAGATATCTCGAAGCTACACATAGGAACAAATATCAGCTGGAAACATACGGATGGTACATCGAGAAATGACTTGGTTGGATTTGTTCAAGAATATCTCTATGAATGAACGAATTTGCATAGCTCCGAAGGCCGGACTCTACGTACATGTCAGATAGGTCAACAACTGTGTGCTGGGTTAGCTATATGAAAAGGCGAACCATGAGTTTGCGCTGAATTGGCAGCGCCGGTTCAATACGGTCATGGTCTGTTCAATCGGAGGAGTATCCTTCATACCTGTTGTTTGTGTTTTGAACCTGTGAAAAGGTCAGTACAGTCAATTGCGACAGCTTCCCAACACAGACGGTTCTCCTCGCACCTGTGACTGTCAAGATACCTACACGGCCCGTTTAGAGATGAAAACGGATCTTACTAAAATCAACAAACTCGACACACCTTCACCGACAATGCCACGTATTGCAAAGTTCACAATCGGGGTCTTCTCAAATTTCGACAGAACATAGTGGAGAGCTTTCTTGTCCATAATCATGAGGTAGTCGCGCTAAAAGAAAGCAAAGCGAAAGGAATAAAAATAAAAGGTGAAGCAACTTTCACACAGCGAGCGACACATACATTGAGGAAGGACTGGAACTTAAATATCGGGCCGTACTGCTGTATCCAACGCTCCTGAGTGCGGTATGCCTCGTACTCGAGGACATCCTTGAAGCTTCCGAATAGTACACTATTGGACTTCGGCCCGCGAAGAGAGCGGAGAGGCGTGCGATAAGCATGAGCGACTTCTTGAGCAGTTCTGTGTACTAAGAGCGAGAGAAAAACGGCCCCACAGCCTAACGCAACCATAGTAATGGCTGAGGCTAGCGGGACGACGACGACTGCCATGGCGGATGCTACTCGACTGACGGCGGTCGACATGGCGGAACTTGAAATTGCGAGGTGGGACATTTCACAGGAGAGTATATATACGGACGTAGTCTAGACTCATTGATCTCATCGATCTCATCGTTGCGTACGCTCCTGTCATGATACCATGGTCATATTTAGCGAGACGCGTGTGGAGCGAATTGCACTTTCTCGAATTCTGTTTTTGGCCGGGACGCACAGCTCAAATTAGGAATGGTGGTACCGCGGACCACACTACACGACGTATTGAAGTCCATCAATATTACAGTTTGGTCGGTCCACAGAGATGCTTCAGAATAGGCGCTCTCAGTGATCATTTTCCTGATCGTGCCACAGAAGCGCGGTGCTTCATCGAAGATTCACCGAGAAACCCGCGTTGAGGACCTCACGATCTCCTCCTGGATGTGATGTCAAGAAACTTTCCAAGAGCATACATTTTATAATCGGAACTTTCAATCAGGTACATAGACCGTAATGATGTCCATGAGGGCTCTAGACCAGAATCTCGCACAGGATTCAATGTATCAGGAAGCAGTGGTGGTCTCATCGGGTTTGACGATCGATGACGGGCCAAAGAAGATACCCACGACCTTTATAGGATCTACATCCACCCACCCATCTTGAAGTGCAGTCAGATCTCTTCCTCCGTGGTCTCACTTTGGGGGCCATAGGCCTCTAATGGGTGCCAATTCCACATTTTCGAGCTGTACAACGCAGTTCGGAACTTCCCCTGGACAACGCATTTATATATAAAAACGAAATGTCCTAATCACATTACTAAATAGAGGCTGTTGTGTAAGACCTACCACCTGTGCTGAGAGAATCGTCCCCTCTGCATATCGAACTGCTTACCGTCTATTTCTTTCATTTTATAATGTTGCTGAAATGCATCGGGAATCGAAGAGCGTGAAGTGGCGAGAGCAGAATGGATGAAATAGTGATTTCATTTTAGTGTGTTGAACTAGTAAGCTGCTTGATCGGTTCTCTTGGAGTCAGCTTATACTCGTTCACGCCAAATGGTAGAATCAGAAACCCATACATGAAATAGCTGCAATGAATATATAGTGTAAGAAGTAGATGACAAAAGTGTATGTAATGCAATGCATACATAAATGAACGAACGAAAAGAATGTTCTCGCTGAGAAAGGTGACACGCCTTAGATCGTCATAGTCAGTACGAGGATAAATTTACGACTTCCACTGCATAGAAACATGATGAGAAAGAGTAGATGAGAGACACAGATTAACACACCTTGGTCATGAACCACTCAGGGTACCCAGTAGCTGCAGCACCCTTTACGAGCAACCCATTCGAGTCCACAGATCCAACTCCAAAATAGTGTTTATTGTCAACCTACTTGGGTCGTTAAGTACTTGTTTAGATGCAGAGGAGGTACAGCCTGACCTCAAACCCAAACCGCTGGTAAATATCCCGGGTCCTTGCCTTCGTCGCCTCAAGGTGTATCGGCTTCGGAGATGTTCGTTGAAACCCATCTTGCATCATAAGTGACGAGATGCCTATAGCAGGGACCGTAAGTGACTGCATAAAAAGAGGGTAAATAACAGACCTTTGCCTTCGAAAGGAGGATCGACCACCATCTCCAATAAATGCCACGAATCGCGCCTGTCAAGTCCCCGAGAGCCAAATGCGAGGTTCAAAGAATGTTCGACAGCTGGCGAGAAATCGAATAGAACTCTCTGACAGTATATATTTAGCCAGACGACAGAATACTTCCATGGCAGATGACAAACCTTCAAGCCTCCAACACCCCACCCGAATAGTACCTTCCACGCCCGAGCTCTTATAATCTTCCAAACCCCGAAATCCAATGTCTGTCCTGGCTTCAGCCACAGAGTAACCCCCACAATCGTTCCATCCCCTCCATCAATGCGAAGTATATCATTTGTGTCATTAGGAACAACGGCCACGACAACGTGCCCACCGGAAATAACGGTGGCCAGGAGTAACGTCTCCTGGAAAGAGTACAGCGCTTTCATGGTCTTGGTCGCGTGTGAATCCTTGGAATCGCAGCTGGGCACCATTTTTACGACGCCACCGAACCAGTTCATACAAGGATCTCGCGCAAAAGCTCGAGTTAGGACTCTGATAGCGCTGGGGTACTCGCTGGGCTTTGCAAGACGTGTAGATGCACCAAGAGAATGGGTGGGTGTGGACATGACGAAGGTGGGCGAGTACAGCCTAGAGGAACGTAGTCTAGTAGATATATGAGATGAATCGTCTCGTCCAGGCTCGAAAGTAACATTTTTCTGATCGATGATCAATGAGGTTACTGTGGAAGCGCCGGTGCGTGTACCGCCTTCTGGGAACAGAGAAATTGTGTTGCAAAAATAGCTTGCGCCCACGATAATCAGAGCATGCATTTGGCACCTTTTGGTGCTTGAAGGAAGTTCCCGGAAATCAACGATGTCGCGAAACGGAGAACCTCATGATACAGATAACTACGGAACTCAACTTCCTTGTTTTGCGTGGACATGTACCACCCATCATGCTGAGCATATGCTCAGCCCGACAGCTTCAGCTCGTGAGCCGTTGTGGTCATGCAAGCAGCGTCATATAAAATGTGTGAAGGACATGGTAAATACTGTCATCTCCTACATGCTAATTATGCGGACATAGGCATAAGCTCGATAACACCGCTCCGATTGAGAAAATCTTTGTCGTGTCCACTATTCTCCTCTCTGTCCTGACTTTGAGTGGGCTCATTCTCGTCTTCCACACGAGAATCAGAGACATATATCCGGATCGGCCTCATGGAAGCAGGGGTACTACCGTCAGAAGAGGGTCCTGTGGTATCTGTGTCAGGTCGCCCTCCGCCGAATCGCATGGTGGCTAGCGTGGCCTCCCGTCGAGTGATATCATCGTGCTGAGTCAATTTCATGCAGACGAGCACGATGATAACTGTCGGATACATGCCCTGGAAGGTATTTGATAAGTACTTCCGAACGACGAGCAGGAAAACGCGCACCGTGAGATGAGCAAGTATATCTGTCATAATATAAACTGCATTGTCTGAAAGTGCAAATAGAATCATGACAGTGACCTGATAAACACTGTGAGGATGATAGTTGTGCGCCTGAGAAAGTCGACGTACCAACGCGACGCAATACACAGCACCAGATTCTATGAGCAAAAAAAGTGCACTAAAGTACTTGCCACCACTAATTACGACGGTGTCCCCGAGATGTGCCATTTGCCGACGATGTATCCTAGAAGCGATATGATTATACGAGGCAAACACCTGCCAAAACGGTATACGTGCCATATTCGGTAGCTTATCGCACAAACTACATAAAGGTTTGTCGTGAAGGTTACGCCAGCGAATATTGCGAACCAGCGAATGATCAAGTTGCTGTAGACTTCTTGTCCGCTAGGAGAAAGCGAGAAAGCATGCACAAGAACGCCCCCTGAACCTAAACCACAAGAAGTAAGCATCAGAAAATCGCATCATCAATGGAAATTTTGGACCGTACCTGCTCCAGCAAGAATGAGAGTACATGGGAGGTATATTATTTTCCAGTTGCGACCCCATAGAACCCAAGCGCGCCAAATAACTATGGAATCGCCAAGAAGACACTGCACAAGTATGAGGTGCAGCCAAAGCCATATAGGATAATACACTCACATTCGTTATTTCGATGGCGATTTGTGAATACACAAGAGGACTCCCCTGGTCGTTGAGGATGGTGATTCCTCCGCGTGCGGCATCCTGCTCAAAGAATCCTATCAAGTTCTGGCTGAGCGATATACTCATATGTGCGGTCGAGAGGCTGTACATGATGACCGTCATTGCGATCATCATCCGATTGGTTGCCGTCCCACGAGTGGCGCGTCTGCGGCTAGACGAAAGAGTGAGCACGTATCGCTTCAAGCGTACATTGCGGGTAAATACAGGAGCAGATAGAGTGCGGCACCAAACAAGATTGTGTACATTCCTGAGTATGATTACATTGTAAGTATTTTGACAAATATAATTAGCAAGACACACGCGCTCGCCTTGGAAGATAGCCTCGCAGAACAGGGCAACGAAGTAGGACTTCGGGAGGGATATTGAATGAGGCATCGTAGACCAGGCTAGATTATCCGTATGAGCGCACAGGGAGGGAAGGGATACGAAAGAATGACGAGTATCATGGCGCTGATATAGTTCAGACAGTATCGGCGCTAAGATACGTTCTCAATCATGATAGAAGTGTGGCGAAAGGATACGGATTTTTGTAGCGTATTTAGCCTTCATCGATCCGAGGCCCGATGTGGCGCTAATTAGTACTATGATCAGAAAGTTTAGCTGATGTTGATTCCTCCCGACAGCTTCACACAACTTTGAGGGCTTCGAGATCTTCCGAACACGACACCGAGCAGGGAATGATGGTGATGCCCGGGAAAACATGGGAAGTGAGGTATCGAGGACCGCGGCAATTCTCTAGCACTGAAGCGCTGAAGAGAGAATATATTTCCTTCCTTCCTTCCTTCCTCCATTTTCGGGGTGATTTCTCACACTCACGTTTGTACTTAAACGGGAAAGTTTATCTATGGACTCGTGTAAGTGAGAATACAGAAGCCATGTACACTTAATTTCCATATAATATCTCCTCAGATATCCTCTAATTGTTCATATGCAGTTATCCATGCGATTGGTGGGCGTGCGCGGCAATGTTCAGCCCATTGACGGCGGTATACGTACAGAGGGGCACATAATAGATATATTTCACTTCCAATCATGAAACAGCCGAAACATAAATAGAAGAGGTGATCGAAAATCAAATATGTAGTCGAACATGGCCTTTCGGAACGTAACACGAAGATATTTTATCAAAAGGAAAAAAAAAAAGTCACAATACCCAAGAATATATATACTTCATGTTTCGCGACGTCCACAGTAACTCATCTCTACATGGTAACGTTTATCGCGGTAGGTTGTGTCATAGCCGGCATCAGGGCGTCGTCGGACTGCGTAGTCAGAATCCTGTCAGTCCCTGAATAGCCCTGAACGCTGCTCGCCCATTCCATCACCCGTGAGATAAAAGTATCCAAATCTTCGGTGGTGTTCCCGGCATGCACCACAACTCTGACCCTCTCTTGTCCTTTGGGAACCACGGGGTACGGGATGAGACGCGCAGCGTATCCCAACGAGTTGAGGTAGGTGGCGAGCGACTCCGAACCAGGAGTGAGAATGGGAAATATAGGGGAGTGCAGATCTTCGGGTATCCCGGCGTTCTTCTGTTGAGGCAGCGTCAGAAGGCCTGGTGAGATGGACGTCAACGCCTTTCTGAGATTCTCTTCGAAGTAGCGCGCATTGAATTGCAAGCGCTGAGACAACTGTACCAATTTTCGCATGAGTGAACGGGAAGACATAAAGATCATGAGAGTTAGGCATACTTCGTCACCGGCCGGGGTAGACATGAAGTCGAAGCACGCATCCAGCGCTATGATATTGGAATACGGGAGGGAGGTGCTGTAGATGACGGGTCGCCCGTAGTTGATAAGATAGTGTCGTATGACGGGCGACGTCAGGATTACGGCTGTAAATAATAATAATAATAATAAACGTCAATGAGAGTCTAACCATAATCTAGTCGGTGTGCGTACCGCCCAAGAAAGCACGGGCCTTTCCGAAGGTATGCAAGACAGTGTGAACGTCGTCTTCCAAACCAAGAAGGGACACTAGCCCTCTTCCCTCCTTCCCGCAAATCCCCGTGGTATGGGCCTCATCTACGACGATGTGCCTGGAGACATCTGGAACGAGCTCTTTGGCTGTTGCCACAATATCGAGAAGGGGGCAGAAGTCTCCGTCCATGCTATACAGGCTCTCGACGGCGACGAATACTGTTGCCTTTCCGAGCATCACTCCTGGATGGTTTTGCACCGCGCGCTCGAGAGTCTGGCGGAAAGACGACGTGGAGTTATGTGCGAAGGGGTAGAGTGCTCCGCGCGCGCGAGAAGTCGCCATCCCATCCCTCACAGATGCGTGAATGTGTTCGTCGAAGACGATCACATCAGACGACTGCGGGATCGCACTGAAGAAAGCAGTGTTGGCTTCGTAGCCAGAGTTGCAGAGGAGGGCGGCGGGCGATCCGAAGAACTTCTTCATACGAAGTTCAAAGTCGATATGAACTGACTTATTGCCGTTGAGGAGGCGCGAGCCCGTCGACCCAAACAGCAACGGGGTCTGAGAGATACGATTGAGAAACGCATCTCGTAGAAGAGAATCAGTGGAAAGAGAGAGATAGTCGTTAGAAAAGAGGTCAGGAGCGGAAGACGGTTTTGGGTGTAAGAGATCCTCGATGGGAGTGCCTCTGCTCTGGCGCCCCAACAAGGCAGTGGTAAGCGCTGTGGAGAGCACGGTGGTAACAGGCATGGTGGTACAAGTTGTTATTTTCTGTACGGTAAATGACCGGAAGCTTTTATAGGAGATTGTGAGGCTGTGATACAACTTGAGAAGAGATCATGACTTACCAGTAAGGTAGACGGATCCGATACCACGGGAAAGCTTTCCTAGTTTGAATCATTACTTTTCCCGTGCAAAACACGAATCTGCACGGGTTCCTGGTGTTTCAGCTCTCGTAATGCCAGCACACAGCGAGCTGATGGTGATTATCGAAAATAGACTGCTATGAATGTAATATGAACGACGCCATCGTCCTGAATCTAGAAATAACTTGAAGACGAACGGTTAGCAACTTTGCGACAAAGATCAGAACAACATCAGATTCTGACCGGGGAGCAGAATCGATGGCTCTTAGTCGATCGACGCCCAATGCTACATATTAGGTCGTGTGACATTCTGCCAGATTTCCGTACGCGCACAAACTAAGCAAGAAGTTGCCTGTATTACCCAGTCCTGGGAGTGTCAATATGGTGAGCAACTCTTCTGCACTCACCGGAAATATTTACACCGCTCTGGAATCGCGATCAAACTTAGTGAACATGAAACCGACTTGGCACATTACAGAGCGATGAACGCAATGACTACAACGTCCTCTCGAGTCTTCCATGCTACTACCCGTATGACTTTACACATTGAGGGCACGCTCCGGAGCTCCGATTCCCATCCTTGAATATTAACTATCTACACGAAAACCCTACCACTTTATGCCCACTCAACTGTAGTGTGCGGTCAGAATGACTTTCTCATTTTTCGTTTTGTGCATTTTCTGGACATTAATGAATCTGTAGGCTGAAAATCATGCAAATGGTCAAAACAATGCTGAGTCTCCGCCTACGCAAGGTGGGAAACAACGTAGCTTTTCGCACAGTATCACTAAATTCGTTCACTCTGCTACAGTAGGTGCTCAGAGGCCTCCCATGCTCTTGACGATACTCCATGTCTCAATGCCACAGATCTAGTCGCCACCGACCCACATAACGGGTCTTCCTCCGAGGGCCGACTATTTTCTCGACGCATCGGCGAAACCCACGCCAAATGGTCTTTTGACAATCAGTTGCGTGGTACAAATCGAGAGAGACGACATCCCTATTTATCCATCCGTGTACAAGTCTATTAGCCGAAACTTGGATGCAGCGCCGAAGAACAGGAACTGCCCCCATCTTACGAAAAGGCTGTGTGCTCGAACAGGAATCACCGAGTGGCACATGTAGACGCGGGACTGGCAGAGTCAGGAGCCGTGACGCGGTTAGTACTTAGTGGGGAAGGTAGGAAGGTCTATCGCGTCTCTTGATCAAAACGGAGAAGTCCCAATCCGCTCTTTAGTTCTCATAACAGTCATACATTCGTCGGCTCATCAGTCCCGCATCAAGTCTGTCTTGTTCTTCCATCTTGGACTGGATTCGGATCTTTCATGGATCACTGCATCACCTGGTGGATCCACATCCAGCCAGTATGAGCTTCTGTGAGAGGCGCTGCGACCAGGATACTAGTAGTCTGGCAAGGCTGTAGACTAACTTCTCTTCAACTTCTCTGATTGAGGGACGTATACCTCATGATATCTTAGTTCTGGGAACGAATCACATCTTACCGCAGCGGCCGTGGACAACTTCTTCTGACTGATACTTTCTAAGCCGCTATTCGACCTCAGCAATCACAAGACCGTTCCATTCTCCGGTGTCGTTTTATCTGTTCCTTGTATGATGTCTACGATGATGGAGAAAACAAATGTATCATCACATTCGAAGATGTCTCATCTCATGCTTGTGAGAATAGTCTTTTAGGGCTGCTCAACGAAGTGAAGATTCATTCACATCCTCTGTTTCCCCCAGAAACTCCCGCTGCACCTGCGTTCATCCTTAAGTCTCCACTTTCGCACATGCTCGGTTCAAAAAACTGGCCTCCTATTCGGGGCGTTCATCGATTCAGTGCTTTCGTCCTAATCATCACCCCTATAATTGCAGTCTATGGACTGCTCTATGTTCCCCTACGATTCAAATCATTTGTATGGGCATACTCGTATCTTATATTCACAACTCTGGGTGAGCCAACATTCATACCTATGAGTATAGAGCTGAATGTCCAAGTCATTTACGAGAGCATTTTACACAGGTATCACAGCAGGTCAGTTTACCGCACCTTTTGTTCCGATCCAACTACCACAATGGTCTGGGACTTAGGCTACCATCGTCTCTGGGCACATCGGTCCTACAACGCCTCGCTCCCGCTGCAATACGTCTTGATTATTGCCGGCTCTGGAGCCGTTCAAGGATCCTGCTATTGGTGGGCTCGCCGACATCGATCGCATCACCGTTATACCGACACCGATGGCGATCCGTATAACTCTCAAAGAGGACTATTTTGGACGCACATAGGGTGGATGTTGTTCAAAACGGATCTCCGCTCGGGGACTGCCGACGTCTCGGACCTACGCAAGAACGATCTGGTGCAATGGCAGCATAGCTGGTACCTCTATCTCCAATTCGTCGTGGGATATGCACTCCCTACTATGATACCTGGTATCTGTTGGGGAGATTGGGCGGGTGGCCTGTGCTATGCAGGTGCCCTTAGAATGACTTTATGCCACCACGTACGTACAGTTCGCGCATACATTTTTCTCTTTGGTTATCACCTCGTGACTGACGCTAGTATCTATGTCGCAGAGCACCTTCTGTATTAACTCGATCGCGCATTACCTCGGAGACGCACCGTACGACGATAAACACACTCCACGTGACAACTTCCTTTCGGCCCTTTTGACGATGGGCGAGGGATACCACAACTTTCACCACCAATTCCCGATGGATTATCGCAACGCTTTCCGATGGTATCAGTATGATCCGACGAAGTGGTTTATCGCTCTGTGTGGTGCTGTTGGCCTAGCCAGTAGCCTGCGCGAGTTTCCGAGTAACGAGGTGGAGAAGGGTGCTCTGACAATGAAATTGAAAGAGCTGAAAGGCGTGCAGGACGGCTTGCAGTGGCCAGTTCAGGCGGATCGCCTTCCACTTATATCTTGGGAGAGCTGTAAGTCTCATTTGGGTTGATCGTATTCTGCGTTCTTGCTTAACGTGGCCTGCACCTACTAGTCCAAGAGCAGTCGAAGGATCGTGTGCTCATTCTTGTGTCAGGATATATACACGATGCTTCGGGTTTCTTAGACGAGCATCCTGGTGGACCGACTCTGTTGGCTACGTCCTCGGGAAAGGACAATACGTCGGCTTTTTTCGGTGGGACCTACGAGCATTCAAATGCTGCACATAATGTTTGTTAGTTCACCGGTCGATCTGCGTACCTGTACTGACTAATCGGTTCTTCTTCCAAAGCTTCTAGCGATGAAGCGAGTTGGAATTCTCGCTGGCGGCGTCGAGTGTCTAGGGAAGTCCGACCATGCGGTGCCACCTTCGCAAAGACTTTACATCGCTCAAGTGACCCCGGGAAAGTGAGGGGTAGTTGGTCCATTACTTACGCATGCCTTGAAGATCTACTCGCGCTCAGACGAACGTCAATTTTGAATCCCATATTCTTTCGGTAGCGTGCCTTGATCTACGTCAGCCGCGTCTGGTGTATTCGAGTCGTTTAGTGTTCGTACGTTCTTGATAGACTGTGTGTTATTAAACGAACGAGCGCAGCTAAGAAACATTTATGTGTGATAAGATATAAACATATGAGCTTGAACGGTATCACTCAATGTCACTCGACTCGGTCCCCCGAGACGAAAAACTGTTTAGCAGACAAATAGTCTGAATGCTCCTGTCTATGAGCGATGACAGACTTATCGACCCCTCGCCGCCACAACGGAAGCGCGATCTATGAGCAATACGGCGTCAGTAAAGATGACCACACCAGCAGAGTATATATTTACCAAACCAATAAGTTTGATACAAGCATCTCTAAGCCCCTGACTGCCATGAGGAGTCGAGCCACGAGTATTAGTGCGGAACGCATCACAAATAAAGGTATCCGTTATATGAAAGTCGCCTCGCTGAAGACCTGGACAAAGGCCGGTGCCATTTAGTGCCCAATATAACCAAGGAGCGACTGAATAAATGCGTACCCTTGAACAAGCCCTCGGCGCATTTTTCCGGTGAGAGACCGTCATCGGTCGCTTCGAGCTCAAGAAGGAGCTTAGGCTTCGTTTTGTTCTCCTCTACATAGCCAGGGCTGAATATAGTCGCAGGGAAGTATAGGTGAACATCTATTGAATAAAGAAGCAGCTCCTGCCTGAGACCCTCAGCAAGACCTAGACATTCGGCTCAAGTGAGTGATGAACAGATCTCCAGATACGCAATAAACGGAGCACGCACCTCGGATAGCATGTTTTCCGGGGGCGTACGTTGAATATCCAAGCATGGACATGTAACCAAGCACAGACGAAACAAATACGATCTTGCCAACCTGGCGGTGGCGAACCATATGCCGTGATGCTACCTTGGAGCGAGATCGGTATGGCGGCGTAGGGTAGGGAAACATTGCGTGGAACAAACTCACAAAAGCACTCCACGATGCTACCCAGAAGGTACTGTCCATCCCGCGTCTTATGGACTCCTCATCTTGCTCGATATAAAATCCTGGTGTCGCCTTCCCAGCGCAAAGGAAAACTGCGTCCGGTGAGCGTCCACCGTATGGCTCACATGCAGCATTGAAAGCGTCTTCGGTCGTAGAGAAAGCATCCAGTGCGAAGGAGTAAGAGTTGAAGATTTGACTTTTGTTAACACGAGCAGCCTTTGAGAAGGAGTGGAGAAAGAGCAAGAAACATTCAGTAAAAGAGAGGCTGTTACGGTGACACGACGCACCTCTAACTGAGCTAGCGCCTCCTTTAAACTCTTCTTATTGCGCGCGACGATGGATACATTTGCGCCCTTTCGAGCGAGAAGGAGTGCCAGAGCAAGACCCAGCCCAGACGAACCTCCGGTCACATAGCAATGCTGTCATAGTCGTCAGCTCTAAAATGTGGGCAAGGACGGGCGCCATGAAAGCTGAGCCTACTTTGCCTCGGGGATCCCATTTTCCTCTTCCTCCAATCATATGTAGCAGGGAGACCATGATTCCGAGAGTGACCACGGTCACAATTAGGACGAGCATACAACGAAGCGAGGAAGGCCAGATGAATAGCAAGACGATAGTGGTGTTACAGGCAGCGAAAACGTTGTCTACGGCCCACGTGACGAGTGTCCATTGCCGAGCTCACTTCGGCAGCCTGAGCGCTTCAGCCTCCTTCAGCCTCTCAAGTTCAGCCTAGCACTTACCCTGGTCCATGGATGGTGGGTGCACTATTTGATGCTACCCGTGGATGATGAGACAGTAATCCTCGCTGTGCATTCGTGTACGCAAACACTGGAGTCGGATCAGTACCTCAGGTGGCATGTATCTTGCGAGAAGAAAAATTTTCTTCTCGCAAAATACATGAAACAACAGTGATAATTGCTCCGGCGATTCCCAATCCCTCATCTACTTCTCGTTATTCTGCACCTTGAACGTAAGTATCATTTAACCATCCTTGACTCTTCTAGCCGTCTAGCCTTCTACGCCTCTTCGACCTGGTGCTCACAGTCTTCGAACTCGAACACACGCATCCGTTCCGAGTCCATCTCCTGCTTATACTGGAAACCTGGACATTGGAGTACTTATTGTTATCTGGTTTTAGTCGTGTTGTAAACACCTTGAGTACATAGACGTGAACACACAACGATTGCTGTAGTACATTATGAGCACCAGCGACTCTCCGCACAGATTGACCTTGGCCAGAAATAGAACCTCACAAACTGACACGACGTGGCAAGTTCAACGACACAAAGTAAACGGGAGCGTAGGCTACACTGACAATTTCCTACGGAAGACAATCTGAGCAGAACGACAGCGACTAGAAAAACGTCTGCCGAAGTGAAGATGCAAAGCCAAATATACCTCGACCTGCTCCGGGAGACGAATAGAATTGGTTGATACTCACAACCACCGTCTGATCTCCGCGTTGAATTCCTGGACAAGGAACGTTGAGATTGCGATACATTTCATTGACATGTGTAACATACCATCCAATAACGTTTTTGCGCCTTGTCCGGAGAACCTAGAAGCGTCCGCGGGACTTAGAGTAGAAGGTGGACCAGCTACCGGCACGGACTCGGAAGGGACGATTTCATGCACGTCGATGCCCATACCGGCGGCTTCTTGCCGAAGAGTAGTGGGAAGAGAAAGTAGGGCGTATTCAGCAGGGGCATGAGGTATATATCCCGGAGGTCTCCTAAAGCCAAGACTCGACGATACGATGACGACCTTCTGTGAGCGTCCTTGCTCAATGCTCAGTCGTGTGGCACTCTGACGAATTGAATAGCCGGCGGCGTTTAGTACGCAGAAGTCAGATAGCTGGAGTACGTACTCTTACGGTCCATACATGGGCTTCATACAGAATTCGCATAGCTTCAGCCATGTCGTCGCTCGTGAGCTCTAAGAAGCTTTTGGCCTCGATTTGGCCAGGACAACAGAATATGGCGTCCGGAGTCAGTCCGCGGTGTTTAGACATGACTCTTTCCAATGCTGCATTTGCTTCATCCGACGAGCGAATCAGGTGAGCATGAACTTCAAATATTTGCTCGGGAGATTGGCGACGTTCCTAGGGAAGAAAGGAAGCTGACCCCTCAATACAGTAATTGAACTCAAAGAGAACTGCACACCTCGATAGCTTGTGCAGTTGTGAGAGCTTCGTTCTCACTGGGCACAAGGATTGAGACGTGAGCTCCTTGTGAGGCAAGTGTTGTAGCCAAACCCAGCGCTATAGGAGAGCTGCCGTCGTCGATGTAGCAGTGCTGCCGAACCAGCACAGTAACCTCGGTGAGTGACCACGAGCGTAACGCGAGCTGCATGAGAAGTCGTACCTTTCCACGCGGGTTCCAAGGCGCAGGCATCGAGGGCAGTGGCAGGTTGGTGGTGGGTATCAGCAGACGAGGTGGGGGTTAGAAGGAAGGGCAACGGGCAAGCGCTGAGCGTTCTGTTGCATGCACACCACAGCAAGTACTCACGCTCGGCTTGATCTGTACTGTGCAAACATGTCTTAAATGGAAGTACACAACCCGCTCCGGGCCAGGCTTGTACGACTTTGGTCTGAGTCCACAAAGGTCCATGCCCTCCACTTCCAATGACTCGGCGATTTCCTTGAATCGCCTCGAGGCGACGGCGCCATGATCTAATGGCCTTCCAAACTTCGGAAACAGCATCTGGTAAAAATATCAGTCTAGGACGCGGCGTCCTAGACTTCCAAAACCTGTATTTGTTTCCATGTACCCTTTTAGATGCCCACTCAGTATGTGGGAGCAAAAGAACATACACAGAAATATCACAAGTACGCGACGATGGAACATCACTGGTGGAAAGATGGAATGATTCTATATGGATAGGCGCACGCAGACAGATCGAGAAGGGACTCGTGCACCAGACGCTACTGTAATGGAAAGATGCGGCGAATGTATAGACGTGGTCGTGATTGAATACGCAGCGAGAACTAACAAATGCGGTACGAATGGTGTGCCCTCACCAGCTTCTCACACTATCGTGATCATCTCATTGTGATCATCACTCACCTCATGCTAGCACGAAGGCGTTGTGTACAAGGAAGTCTCCACAAACAAACCAGAAGTGAAATCGTAAGAACCATCGGCTTCCCTACATGTCGCCGCTGCTTAGACATCACCGCTAGAACCTACTGTCACAGTAGTATCTGTTCGTCTTCCATCCCGCCTTCAGATCGAATCATCGTGTGTTTCTGACACAGTGATGGTGTCCAAAATATTCCAATGAAAACGCACCAGGTCTACCAAGGATTCAGGTAACGTACCCTTGGTAAGTGGGTCGATGAGCCGCGAGATCGGTGAATTGGAGTACTGAGACGTTAGTAGCACATGGAATAAGACACAAAAATGGACGCGTGACGGTCTTGTAGCTCACGACTACATACACGATAGTCGAATCTTTGTGCGGCCCGTCATATCCCTGTTCAATTCATGGGGACAGTGTTCATCGGAACATGTTAGACCCGAATTGGTATAGAAAGGGAGCGGAAGGATATCTTATGTTAGAGAGACGGTACATCGCGATCAAGGGGGAGCACTCACAATATCCACTTTGCATCTGCAGTCCAGGGCATCCAGCTTGCATCGAGAACCTGATGCACGGACAAAACAGATCCCGGGGAATCTTGCACCTAAGTGGGACGAAGGTACTTCCTCCGCGCAAGCCTGGGAAGTGTTAAAAGGGCTGTGCTCATAGGAGGTTTTATTTTTGTTGTGGCGCTTAGCCCAAATCCAAATTCAATGGGGTAAAAATCAGCGTATGTGTATACGGGTTATAAACAGTCACAGGTATCTGGTCTATGCTCACTCTGAATTACAGGACTCAGGCCTTGAGCAAACTGCCTAGAGAAAAACATCCCTTGAAACGAGTCGAAGAGGGCAGTGGTCAGCAAATGGAATGTTGTACAAAACGCTATTAGCGAAACCCCGTACAGTTAATGATCAAGAAACCCCGATAGAAGATAGATCGTCTATGCAGTAACTTTCTGCGACATGTGGAGTAGATAATTGAGATACATTAGAGTCATCCTTCCTTCTCGGTGGCTGAAGATGGGGAGCCCGACTCTCCATCTCCGAATCTTCTTGATACTGATACGATGGACCAAATAGACGGCATGTCACGTACTGTACTGCAGAGAGCAATATGATATTATACCACGCATTATGTGCTCCAATGGTGAAATCCGTGTGAGATTGAATTTTTGCTGTTCCCTCAGGGCCTCTCAGCTGATGTAGGGCCCATAAATAGAGCGTACCAGTCAGTGAGAGCAATATGACAGATGCCAAGGTGCTTAGAAGAAGTACAACGACCCTTGAGCCAATGAAATTGACTAGCACACTTCGTGCGATCTATGAAACAAGAGGCTCTTTACCGTTTCATGAAAGGAGCACGGGCAGGAACGAATAGGATAAAAGTGGAGACCAAGCAGAGGAGGATGTAGAGATGAGCAAAGACATGGAAGGAGGGAATATTGTGGGTGGGAGGCAGCGCAATAGCCATGCGTGGACCTCTTGCTAAGTCTGAAGGCACACTCGAACGGGAAGTTCCGCTGTACCGTATATTAACGAAAGACGAAGAGCAGAAAACAAAGAAGCAAAATCAGAATGGAGTGAAGACACGCACATCACGTATTATGCTTCCTAACAGCGGAGGTCTCAATATCACGCTCCTAGAAGGATGCCCTTGAGCATATTGACCGCCTGCTCAAAGTCCCTCTCTGTTGCACCTGCCTTCCATTGCCACTTCCAAGCCTCGTTGACACGCGCACCCCATACATTCACCCAGACCGGTAGCATATCCTTACCGGGGATTGTATTGCCTAATCTGAAGTTAGTATGTTTGACTTTCAACGTCGAGTTAATAGTGGGATGCACCTCCACCTCCACCTCCATCTCGATACACTTCACCTTCGTCATCCACATCAACCCCGCCAAACTCGTACAACTTTCCCAGCTCATGCGCGATGTTCACGACCTTATTGGAGAATGGCATCCGGATGGATTCATAGATGTGAAGACCTTTATCGATCGTCTTCCGTGTTGTTAGAGGGTGGGTGAGGAGTCGGCCGAGGAGGTAGCCGTCCTGTGTTCGCCAGATCAGATGCATGTGTCAGTAAATAGCGCGGCGAGGAGCGACAGAATTCTGCCTGAAGATGCCGGATGATATGTATGAGGAGTCGGGGAAATCTGATGGAAATGGGGATTGAATAGAGAAGTCATACAGAAGAAAAACTTACCTCCATTGCTTGTCCTGCGCCCGTTCCGAGGTGCGTCTCCATTGCGTGGGCCTGTGTCACAGCGCAATCTAGTCAGTCACTAACGGAGTACTCGAAACACCGAAAAATACTCGGGATATTGTTGTTAAATTCGAACTGGAAAGTAGGGAGTGACGTAGAAAACAAGAGGGAATGAGACATACCGCATCTCCTAAGATAGCAACGTTCTCCCGGGCGTATCTGGGCATCTTACCATGCATATGGATAGCCCACTTGTTCGTAGTCTCTCCACACTGTTCTCCCGATCCCAAGTCCAGTCGCGATTAGCACCGTGATCGGCCAAGTACGATTGCCACCGTCAGACCACAGAAAATAGGCCGAACGCCCCCACCGTCGCCAACGATAAAGCAGGCCGTTCGTCAGTGGAGCGATCTGGGATTCCAAAACCCGGATCAAATAGTGACTTACATCAAGTAAAGCCTCAACCTCCTCTTCCATACCTACGCATGCCTCCTTCAACTCTTCCGGGCTTACCTCCTGGACCCAAGACTTGTCAGGGTACACCGTCCCATAACCGTGCGGAATGGTGACGAAGGCAATAAGGTTGACATAGGGAGTTGATGGGATCGGATATGAGACTATGTGCTTTAGTACACATACGCGGGTAGTGAGTAATATGGCGTAGCAGAGCAGGTAGAAGGAGTGGGCTTACCTTCCCTTTATGACAGCACTGCATACGTCGGATTCGCAGTGTTATTTAGAAACATTATCGTTATATTTTGTCCGACTCACAATGATTGGGTACTTCATCAGCCTATGTTCACTCTCTTTCCCTCTCTCCCTCCACGCCTCAGCCAACCGCTCCTTCCTCACTAGGCTCCGGTACGCAACCGTCCCGCTCCATCTCGCTTCCGCACATTCTCGCACATCGTCTTCTGCCATGGCTCGTTTCCTCTGATCACGATCAATATCACCGTTGCCTTCAATCGATGCGTCCAACTCAACCGGTTCCTGGTCCTAGATGATATGCTGGAACATGACTTTACGCACAGTCGACCGGATCCCGTCTGCTCCAATGAGTACATCGGCCGTTGCGGTCTTGTCGTTGGCGAAGTGGAGCGTTATGGGTCCTGATTCGAGTTCCAAACCTCGTGATGGTGGGTCTGATTGCTCATGTGCTTGCAAGGGTGCGCCCTGAGGAGACGGCGGAGTAGAAGTGCGTGTGTAGGAGACAAGACGATGCGATGGATGGATGGCGCATAACTGTGTATTGGAGGATGGTAGGGCAGATTGCAGGGCTTTGAGGAGGTTGGAACGATGTATCAGGATGGGAGGGCCACTCTCTAAGTTCGTATAGAAAACATGGTCAGCGGAGTTTCGGTTCTCGTGGGGGATGTTACCTCGCACGAGTATGGCAGCGACGTACCGGGCATGCTCGAATGCGAATAAAAGTTAAATCCTCCGGACTGGTCACTCTTTCTATACGTGAATGATGCTGTGAAACCAGGTGTGTCAATCTCTTGTAAGTTTCGAAGCACTCTGGTCCAATCAGCAATAAGGCAGAAAGACGTACCTCTTTCCACCTTCGTCTCATCACCTTTGTTCAATTCGTCCTCCAGCAAACTCAAATGTCTGAGTATGGTCTGCGTTCTCGGATATATACTGACCCCCGCGCCGACGGTGGCTAGTTCGGGCTGAGCCTCGTAAATGTCGATAGCGACTGCTTCGGCAGATTCGTGGGAACCAAGGGAGGAGTTGTGTCGAGCAAGGGTAGCAGCGAGAGTGAGGCCACCGGGGCCACCACCGCTGTGAGGTGGAGTGAGGTTAAAGTGAGTTGTTAGATCAGAACGTGGGAATGATCCAGCAAATGTGTTGAGAGGATGAGCATATCGATGTCAGCCAGACTAGGACAGGTAAGCACAGTAGGTTGACGCACCAGATAGCGATCCTCAGCTTTGGCATGGTTTCATTAGCCTCGTCTCTACCAGTACGACTCGCATCAGTCATGGTTGGTAGACTACGATGTGCCTTGGTCGCTGTGATTCGAGAAGTTGGTCCAATAGTCAGTAATGCAAAGTGCCTGTGAGAGGTTTGGCTTTATGACTCGAACCAGACCTTGTCAGATGCTAGCGGCGTGGTATCAGGTGCACTGTAAGTTGTGAGCAAAACTCCGTGGTATGCAGATAGCCATATTGGATGTTTCGAGCACAATCCCCGGCTGCGTCCAGCGAGATGCCGACCTAGGGCCTGAGTTTTTGGCAGTTATAAGTAGATACGGTCCCACAAGGATCACTAGGTATATAGGTAGCTGTAGATAGGTATAATTCGGAGTTTCAGTTTCACAATCAGAGGCGCTACTAGATGTGGCCGTCGTCTGTTAGGCTGAAGGCGAAGAGTGCCACCACGCCACGCTTCCCGAAATTCCAAGCCGGGTATTGCCGTGACAACTTTTTCCGACTTTTCTAACTTCGCACTGTTTCTCTCATCGTCTTTCAACAGCTTTCAACACCTCAAGTTTGAATCATTCCAGGTAGGTCACGAAACTCCCATTCTGATTCTATTTACACAGACACAGCACATACCTGTATTACTCTGATACTTCGGTATGTGCTATAAGTATCCTCATCAACTCTCCCCATTCCCATCCGTGCTCTCGACCCTACTATAGCACAGTCACACCAGACGTTTACGAAGACCAAAAATCTTGCATTTTTCCAGACTCATCCATGCAAGAATATAACTACTTTACAACTACTGCCAAGATCTTCATACACCTATGTGGACCAATGGAACCCACTTCACAAACGCAGACTCCCCCACCTTCGCGCGAAGACATCTAACTGCATGATGAAGTGTATACGCAGCTGAGCTAAGCGCCTCTATCTCGGAACTCGGTCGCTTTCTCTCTTCCAACAGATATTGATATACGATATCCGCGATTAAAGGTGCGTTTTCGTCACCGATAGACCACATTGTTGCGAAAACTGTCTGGTAGCCCCCGATGAGCATCCCAGCAGCGAGATGTTGCCGAGGTGAACCGCCCTGCCAGAACCCTCGACAGGAGAGAAGTCAATTGCCTTCTTCTGAGCTTGGAAGGCTTGCTCGATATCACTGAGCAGCCCCAGCAGCTCATATAGGTTTTGATACGCAGTCCCAAGGACGCTATAAAACTACGGTCGGTGAGGGTCGCCTTGAAGGAAGGTTCTATGGCTCGTTGTTGCATTATAAGGCACTGTTCCACGTCATCTATATATATGTTCCATTCTTTGAAAGCGAAGCATGTACTACGCATAACCGAGATCCTGAAGACATATACGCATGGCCGAATGCCCGTGCGGAGTAAAACTGACTGTCTGCCTCTGAGCTGTAACGCTCTGGTCCAGATCAGCAACATTGCCAGACCGCTCTAAGCATGAAGGCCGTTTCCAAAATTTGTTAGATACTCTGGCCTATCAGCATGACCTTCGTGGATAAGATCAATTGCCTGCTGGTGAACAGCGAGGGACTGGTCCAGGTCGCAGAGCCGCCAAATCGATCGTATCGATACAGAAGAGTGATGCCGAGGTTATTTAGGTACAATGCCTGCTCCTCTGTCGTGAGCCCGTGCGAGATCGCCCGGGCGTAGAGCATAGCAAACAGACATCTCAATAGCTGTGAGATTGGCTCTCAGCCGAAAGCGTTAAAAAAAGGTATGACTAAGGTGATTCAAACTTGTCTTATATGTCAGACTTGATGTAAGTAGGGTGCGAGCGAGTCCAGAGCGATGACAATCATTCTCGCCTAATTAGACTCAGCCTGAAAGAACATACACAATGTCATGCGTCAGTATGATGGAATGGCAGCAAGTAACGGGCGCATGTCATAGTGCTCACAACAAGGAGTCGATGCTCTTGCTCTGTATCAGGGGCGACGATCTACTCACGAAGGTATACCCTAGGTTCAATGAATGGTCCGAATGAAAAGCTTCAGAGTAGCATAATGACATACCTGGTCACGACGCTGAGTGTTACTGCCATCGGACGACGCAACGAGTCGGAATCTCTGCATACCAGCAGATACCAGCGCACCTTTGAGTTCGGACCAAGCGAGAGGGGAAAAAATAAGAGGAACCAACTCGCATACCAATATGGTCTATCTCGTGTATGCAATACTCTGCACACAGCATCGGTGCCCTCAAACCAGCCGGTACTTCCTTGGTACTTCCTCTAGACCCAGCTACTATTCCAAATGATTTGCTCTCCGGTCTCGATAGTGCTCGATGTTGATCCTATCGATGCCTCGTTTGAAGCTTGAAATTGGACAAACTGTCTGATACATAGTCATAGATATACTCAGAATATGTCGAGTTAATACCACTCAGCCATAGCGAGGGGTACGACCTGATGGAAAGACGCCACATCGCCACACCATCAGAAATTTCAACTTCACGGACATTGCCGGTGAGCCTTCGTGTTCTGCGCAAAAAAAGGAAACAAGTCGTCTCTCCTTTACTTCCAACCATCTTGTAGCCCCAACTTGTGTACTGTGGCAGCTCTACAATGTCGAAACTAATACTCAAATATCTGCGCTTCGTTTGCGAGACTGGTATCCCTTACAGTCGACTGCAACTGTCACCGTTTGTGTCGACTGCAACTGTCACCGTTTGTACTCCTTGACCCTGACTGTACCTCCCAGACCTTAGGCGACGTCCGGTGTCCCAAGGGGCCCATCGCCCCCGCCAATTTTGCGCGAGTCTCCCGCCAAATGGGAGTTCCCACGTTATGTAAGCGTCGTCTAAGTGCTGGGACGTACAACATGCACTAACCAAAAACTCATACACCACATCCACTCACCATCTCACGGCACGCATGATGTTCTTCTCGCGGCCTCCGAATACTCTTTCCCATGACCCATCCTGACATTGACTACCCTGCGTCTTGTAACTCTCCGGAATTTTCAGTAAGTCTCGGAGTTCAGGACCACCCACGCAAATCTGTGAAGATAGCACACAATTATGTAACGCCTTGAATGAGGTGGGTACCCGATGTGGACGATCGCTCGTCGACGGGTAACCCACTGTTCATATGTACATGTACACGACCCACCACTCCCACCCTGCGGAGCATTTCCAGCCATCGCCACGACTTTCTTAACGTGGATGTTGTGTGCACTTTTATGTACTCCCGATGTCTTCTTGTGCCCCACCTGCTCGTGCTGTGTATATAACGACCGACGTGCAAGCGAAAGCATCAAAGTCCCGGACTCCCGAATACGGTGTTTCATTGGCAGATTTCCCTAACGAACAGCTAGGATAGCGATGTCTCCCCCGTCTTCAAATCCTGCGTCTCAACCCAAGCTTCGCGTCGCTATCTGGTAAGTACCAATCATCTTCTTTTCTTCCCTTGTTTCATTCACACTTCGCACGACTCATAAATCACCCCATCGTTGCCCCGCCGACCAGCGGCGGCGGTCCCGGCGGTCTCACTCTCGCTGTTGCGCTCTCCAAATTCAATAATCCAACATCACCTCTTTCGATAGATCTATATGAATCGCAACCCGAAGTGGCGACAGTCGGAGCTGGGATCAGCATCTGGCCAAGAACGCAGACGATACTGAGGGGATTGGACATTATGGATGCGTTAAAGGGCGAGTTCGGGGGCGAGGGTGACACAGGTGTGTGAATATCAGTTTAGTTTGAACCAGAGTCGGATGGACGGGTTCGCTGATGTGAAGGACATTGCTATAGGTTTTAAGTTTCGTAAGAGCGATGAACCAGACGGGGGGTACCATTTTTATACTTTTGAACATCCAGGTATGGTCTTGCGTTTCTCACTTCTATACCTCTCTTGTTCAAATATGTTCCGATGTCGTCTCTGCGCTCCCAGTAAACCCCCTCTTCGTCCACCGCTCTGCCCTTCTCAAACCTCTCGAGCTCGCACTCTCCTCTTCCCCCATTTGCACAATCCACACATCAAAGAAACTTGTCTCTTACTCTTACCTCTCCCTCTCATCCTCTTCCCACGGAAACACGAATGGTCCCATAACGTTACACTTCGCGGACGACACCACGGCAGAAACGGACATCTTGATCGGCGCCGATGGAGTCAGAAGCTCTGTTCGACGAGGCATGTTCGGGCATATTTATTCGAGGGCTTCGTTAGAGAGTGGGTTGTCGGAGGAAAATTTGAAGCTGAAAAAGGCCGTGGAACCGAGGTGGAGCGGGACGGTGGCATATCGGGCATTGATCACGAAGGATCGGTTTGACTGTCAGCTTAAGAGTACGGAGAATGAGGGAGGGGAAAAGCGTATGTGGCGCACAACCCCTGTCAACGTGCGTTATTTCTTGTTTCGCTTTTGGTCTGAATTGTGCGAAGAGATTGACGTTTAGGGTCTGATTATAGTATAGTGGTAAAGAAAAAGTGCATACATCCATTGAATACTTCTATTACCTCGTATGTTGTACTCATGAGCACAAATCGACGGATACAAACAGCATTTCATAGTCTACCCCATCTCACGCGGTACCCTCCTCAACATTGTCGCCTTCGTCACCGTCCCTTCCGCATTCTCCGCTCGACAGCCATACCCTGATAAATCATGGGTCAAAGATGTGAGTGTGCAGGAGTTGAAGGACGTGTTCGATGGGTTTGAGGACGAGGTTGGAGAACTGATTCAGGTGGGTTATTCTTGTACCTATGATGATGTGATGGAAATGCCTGATGGATGTGGCATGTGCGCTCGTAGGCTATCGACAAGGTGTCGAAATGGGCGATCCATATGCATGGTGATATGCCGCGGTATGTTAATGAGCAGGGCAACGTCGCGATATTGGGCGACGCGGTACGTTTCTACCCCATACCCTAATTTTTACGATTTCGTCTGGTTCCATGCAAAACTCACGGGTGATTGTCATGTTGTGTTGTGGCGCGTAGGCTCATGCGATGGAGACTCATCTAGGAGCGGGTGCGGGTCAGGCTATGGAGGTCCGTTCCAACTCTTTTCTCGCTCTCACTTCTTTCACTATCCCTTCGACTAACGCATCTATTCATCCTCACAGGACGCTTACCTCCTCTCCCGCATCCTTACTCATCCACTCACGACCATCTCCACGCTCCCGACCGCGCTCAAAATCTACGAACACATCAGACTTCCGTTCGCGAACGAAATCGTCAAAACGGCGAGGAGACGCTGTCGATGTCCTAGATATTCGTCGATAGAAAACTGCAGGTAAAATGCCGTATACTCGAGAGTCGAGAGTTGGAAGTACGCGACTTGGATGCTTTCGAGTCTTCACACGATGGCCCCTATATATAGATACCACGAGCGAGGGTGGTCAGAAGTAGAGATCAAAAGTAGATAAAGGTGAAACGTTATACGGAAGTCCAGGAGGATGCTTCGCAGGTGGGTCGTGTACACACTTGTACATATCGGCAGTGTGCTACGCGCCGGCGAGCGATCGTCCAAAGGGGCACCACTGAGTCACATCATTATGCGCTGCATTCACGGAATTGCGGAGGTGGTCCCCGACTAGGAAGACTGTAGATCTCCCGTCCTTCCGGTTGATCCTGTTTGGCGTGAAATGGTGGTAAGTGGATGTTGTGTATGAGTAAGTATGAGGACTCGTGTATGAGGGCCAAAGGAGTGCAGTCGTTCATAGTTGATTGTAGGGGACTGCGGTCTTGCGAACGGAGCGTGCACAGATATTTTTGTGGTATTAAATTCGCAGATGCCACTGCCATAAGCCGGGCTACAACATGGTCGGAAGAAAAGGAGCGACTTGGATTCGAAGTGAACCTCACCGGCAAAGTCCGTGGACTTGAAATCGCTAATGTGTGGCGATGTGGTGTTGCTCACACTGAACGCATCCTTACTATTCCTTAGGTCCATCTATTTCTGTCGAAGTCCGCGGGATCTTCGATGCTATTCTCTTCAGGACTTAGAAATCCCCTCTCCCGCCTCCAACAGCTCTGGGAGGCTCGCGGATCCACGAAAAAAGGAATTATAGGAATGAACGCCGATTTCCGTACTCTAAAGAACTCTCCCAAGCCCGACTCAGTCCGACCCAATTACCGATCCCATCGCGTTTCATTCTCCCTTCGCCAAAGCCTCCTTCAACATCCCCTCTGCAACCTTCCAATCTCTCTCCGGCGCATCCCCCTCCCACTGCCAATCCCAACCCCTCTTCACCTCCTCTCCCCACTTCTCCACCCATCCTAAATCCGCCTTGGACACCTCCAATCCCTCAAACTCATATAGCTCGCCTAAATGCCTTTCTCGTCTCCCACTTTGGGTTCTCAACCCAAGTTTTGCATCGCAATTTGGTACGTCGTCTCGTCTTTGGATTCCTTTTGTCTTCCCTTTTTGTCCATCTCGCCACTTCCCACGCCTCATAACGAACCTCATTGTTCTTCCATCAACCAGTGGCGGCGGTCCCGGCGGTCTCACTCTCGCTGTTGCCCTGTCCAAGTTCAACAATCCAGCCTCACCTCTTTCAATCGATTTATATGAATCGCAACCCGAAGTGGCGACTGTCGGAGCCAGGATCAGTGTCTGGCCGAGAACCCAGACGATACTGAGGGGGTTAGGCATCATGGATGCGTTAAAGGGCGAGTTGGGGAGCGAGGGCTGTGAGGGCGACACAGGTGTGTGGATATGAGATTAGTCCGAATAAGACTCGGGTGGACAGGTTCGCTGATGTGAAGGGTATGGATATAGGTTTTACTTTTCGTAAGAGCGATGAACCAGACGGAGGGTACAACTTTTATACGCTTGAATATCCGGGTATGGTATTGCATCTCTCATTTCCTGCCCTCTTCCATTTTAAATTTCCTTCATTGCGCATCCTGTGTACCTCTCTGGTTCAATATGTTCTAACGCCATCTTCACGCTCCCAGTCAACCCCTTCTTAATTCGCCGCTCTGCCCTTCTCAAACCTCTCGAACTCGCCCTCTCTTCTTCCCTCATCTGCAAAATCCACACATCGAAGAGACTGATCTCGTATTCCTATCTCTGCCTCTCATCCTCTTCCCACGGAAACACGAACGGCCCAATAACGTTGCACTTCGCTGACGGCACCACAGAAGAGACGGACATCCTGATCGGTGCAGATGGAGTTCGGAGCGCTGTCCGACGAGGAATGTTCGAGCATCTTTATTGGAGGGCTTCGCTGGCGGGTGGGTTGTCGGAGGAAGATGTGAAGCTCAAAAGGGGCGCGGAACCGAGGTGGAGCGGGACGGTGGCGTATCGGGCGTTGATCTCGAAGGAGCGGCTGGACGGTCTACGGAAAAGTGCGGAAAAGGAGGGAGGGGGGAAGCGTATGTGGCTCACAAAGCCTGTTAGCGTGCGTTATTTCTTGTTTCGCTTTCAGTCAGAATTGTGCAAAGGGATTAACGTGTGATTATAGTATAGCGGCAAAGAAAAGGTACGCACATCCATTGAATCCTCTTACCGTCTCGTATGTTGCGCTCATAAGCACAATATGACGGGTCGCAACAGCATTTTATAGTATACCCCATCTCCCGTGGTACCCTCCTCAACATTGTTGCCTTCGTCACCGTCCCCTCCGCGTTCGCCGCTCGACAGCCATACCACGATAGTTCATGGGTCAAAGATGTGAGTGTGCAGGAGTTGAAGGACGCGTTCGATGGGTTTGAGGACGAGGTCGGGGAGTTGATTCAGGTGATTTCCTTCTTTTCCCCATAATGATACGGCGCAAATGATTTATGGAGGCGGCGTGTGCACATATAGGCTATCGACAAGGTGTCGAAATGGGCGATTCATATGCATGGTAATATGCCGCGGTATGTTAATGAGCAGGGCAATATCGCAATCTTGGGCGATGCGGTACGTTTCTACACTACCCTCATTTTTGCGACTTCGTTTGGTCTAATGCAAAGCCAACGGTTGATCTTCACGTCATGGTGTGGCACGTAGGCTCATGCGATGGAGACTCATCTAGGAGCCGGTGCGGGCCAGGCTATGGAGGTACGTTCCTAAGCATTTTTTGGTTTCACTTTTTCGCCAACGCAACGTTTTGCTCCGCAGGACGCCTACCTCCTCTCCCGCATCCTTACTCATCCACTCACAACCCTCTCCACGCTCCCCACCGCGCTCAAAATCTACGAACGCATAAGACTTCCGTTTGCGAATGGAATCGTCAATACGGTGAAGAGACTGGGTGAATTGTATGAGTTTGAGGGCATGGAGGTGTCTAAGGCGGATTTAGGATGGGTGGAGAAGTGGGGAGAGGAGGTGAAGAAGAGTTGGGATTGGCAGTGGGAGGGGGATGCGCCGGAGAGAGATTGGAAGGTTGCAGAGGGGATGTTGAGGGAGGCTTTGGGGAAGGGAGAATGAAATGGGGTGGGCTTGGTAACTAAGTCAGACTGGGTTCAATTCGGGCGAGTTATTCAGTTTATCGAAGTTGGCGATCTTTCCTATAAATTCTTTCCTCGTGAGTCAGAAAGCCTCACGGATCTGTTAGAACTGGGGATGGGCATTATTGAGCTTTAAATAAATTGGTGTCTGTGATACCCTGAGCCTCTACAGAAACAGATGGACCGAAGATCTAAGGATGCGGTGAGTGTGACAGAACGACGCCACATCGCCCTTCCAGCCATTCCAAGTTCACGGACATTGCCGGTGGGCCTTCGTCGTGTACTTATTCGCTCCGCATCGTTCTCCTTTTCTTCCAACCATTTCGTCGCCAGAGGTTTATCGTGGCGGTGGTATTTATAATGTCGAAAATATTACCGAAGTGCCTGTACACACTTCGTCTGCAAGACCGGAATCCCCTACAGCCAAATATGACTAACGACTGCACTCTCTTGGCCCTCATGCACAAGCCCTCATACCCAGGCGCAATATCCACTTCTCACCATCTCACGTTAAGCAGGATCAGCGGGGCCCACGGAAGGTCTATTGGCCAATCGTCTCTCTTCTGGCCTCCGAACTCATCCGTCTCATCCTCACATTGACTACTTCGCCTTTACTGACTCTCCGAGACCGCTTTACAGTCTCCTAACTTACTAGTCGGAGAACACCCCCGCAAGCCCGTGGATGTAGCCTGATATAGCGCACAATGATGTAACTCCGTGATTGAGGTGGGTGCCTTCAGGACAATGGCTGGGCGGCGCCTAACACTAGACCGATATGTACCTGTGTGTACCTGTGTGTACACGACCCACCCTGCGAAGCATCTGCAGGCATCTCCTCGACTCTTCCACACAACTTCCGCATAACGTGTACATCTTTATCTACACTGAATCTCTACTTCCGGCCACCCTCTGCTCGTGGTATCTATATATAACACCTCTCGTGTGAAGGTCTCGAAATCGTCCAAGTCCCGTACTTCCAGCTCTCGAGTACACGGCACTTTACTGTCAGGTCTCGACTGACGAACAGCTGCATAGGATATCGAGAACGATGTCTTTCTCGTCTTCCACTTCGTCTTCTCAACCCAAGTTTCGCGTTGCGATCTGGTACGTCGTCTCGTCTTTAAATTCCTTGTCTTCCCGTTTTGTTCTCCTCGCCACTTCCCACGCCTCATCCACAACCTCATTGTTCTCCCACCAACCAGTGGCGGCGGTCCCGGCGGCCTCACTCTCGCTGTTGCCCTTTCCAAGTTTAACAGCTCGACCTCACCTCTCTCGATTGATCTATATGAATCGCAACCCGAAGTGGCAACGGTCGGGGCCGGGATCGCTATTTGGTTGAGAACGCAGACGATACTTAAGGGTTTGGGCATTATGGACGCGTTGAAGGCTGAGTTTAGGGACGAGGGCGGTGAGGGTGACTTAGGTATGTGGATCTTGGACTGGTTGTACAAGGTTAGGTGGATGGGTTCGCTGACGCGAAGGGAATTTATGTAGGGATTAAGTTTCGGAAGTGCGATGAACCAGGCGGTGGATACGATTTTTATACGCTTCAACATCCGGGTATGGTTCTTCTTTAACTTATACCCATCTCCCCTGAACTCTCCATCATCGCTTCTCCTATACGCCTCTCCGAATTATATGTTCTGACGCCATCTCCATGCTTTCAGTTCATCCGCTCCTAATCCACCGCTCCGCTCTCCTCAAACCTCTCGAACTCGCCCTCTCTTCTTCCCCCTCCTGCACAGTCCACACCTCAAAAAAACTCGTCTCCTACTCCTATCTCTCCCTCTCCTCCTCCTCCTTCGGAAACACCAACGGCCCAATAACGCTCCACTTCACCGATGGCACCACCGCAGAAACGGACATCCTGATCGGCGCGGATGGAATTCGAAGCTCCGTCCGACGAGGAATGTTCGGGCATCTTTATTCGAGGGCTTCGTTGGAGAGTGGGTTGTCGGACCAAGATGTGAAGTTGAAGCAGAGGGTGGAACCGAGGTGGAGCGGGACGGTGGCGTATCGGGCGTTGATCACGAAGGAGCGGTTGGAGGGTCTGCGGAAGAGTGAGGGAAATAAGGGAGGGAGGAATTATCTGGAGCTGAGGATGCCTGTTAGCGTGCGTTATTTCTCTGTGTCGTTGTTGAGGCTGAAATGTGCGAAGGGACTGATGTTTGGTGTGTGAGGATAGTACAGCGGTAAACAAAAAGTGGGCACATTTTTCGTGGATCTATATGGCCTTACATGTTGAACTTATGTTCGACTACTCTCCATTCTTCCATCCTTCCAATCATCCAATGCAACCTGACCAACCTATTCCAAACAGCACCTCGTAGTCTACCCCATCTCGCGCGGCACCGTCCTCAACATCGTCGCCTTCGTCACCGTCCCTTCCGCGTTCTCCACTCGACAGTCATACCCCGATAAATCGTGGGTCAAGGATGTGGATGTGCAGGAGTTCAAGGACGCATTCGACGGGTTTGAGGACGAGGTCGGCGAGTTGATTCAGGTGGGTTCTTTTTGTCCCGTGCTATGCTCTAATGGATTTTGCTAAAGAGTATACTTATGCGTGCGGTATGTGCGTGTATGTAGGCCGTCGACGCGGTGTCAAAATGGGCGATCCATATCCATGGAGATATGCCGCGGTATGTAAATGAGCAGGGCAACGTCGCGATATTGGGCGATGCGGTGCGTTTTCAACCGTTTACATCCTTCATTTATTTGACTTCGAAACTTACGGTTGACCATCATGTCATGATGCGGCTACAGGCCCATGCAATGGAGACTCATCTAGGAACGGGTGCGGGTCAGGCTATGGAGGTACATTCCGTCACCTTCTGCGCTCTCACTTCTTCCACTGTCCCTTAACTAACACATTCATCCATGCCCACAGGACGGCTACCTCCTCGCCCGCCTCCTCACCCACCCACTCACAACCCTCTCCACCCTCCCCACCGCACTCAAAATCTACGAACGCATAAGACTTCCGTTCGTGAATGGAATCGTCAACACGGCGAGGAGGCTGGGTGAATTGTATGAGTTTGAGGGGATTGAGGTGTCGAAGGCGGATTTGGGGTGGGTGGAGAAGTGGGGAGAGGAGGTGAAGAGGAGTTGGGGGTGGCAGTGGGAGGGGGATGCGCCGGAGAGAGATTGGAAGGTTGCAGAGGGGATGTTGAAGGAGGCTTTGGCGAAGGGAGAATGAAACGCGATGGGATCGGTAATTGGGTCGGACTGAGTCGGGCTTGGGAGAGTTCTTTAGAGTACGGAAATCGGCGTTCATTCCTATAATTCCTTTTTTCGTGGATCCGCGAGCCTCCCAGAGCTGTTGGAGGCGGGAGAGGGGATTTCTAAGTCCTGAAGAGAATAGCATCGAAGATCCCGCGGACTTCGACAGAAATAGATGGACCTAAGGAATAGTAAGGATGCGTTCAGTGTGAGCAACACCACATCGCCACACATTAGCGATTTCAAGTCCACGGACTTTGCCGGTGAGGTTCACTTCGAATCCAAGTCGCTCCTTTTCTTCCGACCATGTTGTAGCCCGGCTTATGGCAGTGGCATCTGCGAATTTAATACCACAAAAATATCTGTGCACGCTCCGTTCGCAAGACCGCAGTCCCCTACAATCAACTATGAACGACTGCACTCCTTTGGCCCTCATACACGAGTCCTCATACTTACTCATACACAACATCCACTTACCACCATTTCACGCCAAACAGGATCAACCGGAAGGACGGGAGATCTACAGTCTTCCTAGTCGGGGACCACCTCCGCAATTCCGTGAATGCAGCGCATAATGATGTGACTCAGTGGTGCCCCTTTGGACGATCGCTCGCCGGCGCGTAGCACACTGCCGATATGTACAAGTGTGTACACGACCCACCTGCGAAGCATCCTCCTGGACTTCCGTATAACGTTTCACCTTTATCTACTTTTGATCTCTACTTCTGACCACCCTCGCTCGTGGTATCTATATATAGGGGCCATCGTGTGAAGA